GCTGATTGTCAGGACTACACCAGGACTGAGCCAGGACTGGACCAGGACTGAAAGAGGTTTAAACCAGAACTAAACCAGGAGCGCAGCCAGTGAGCTGATCACCTCCGCTGTTGGTTTGATGTTTTAATAAAAACACTAAAGTCTCTCTCATCCTGGTCTGCCATCGTTCCAGTAAAAGACCGGAAAATGTCTCTTGTTTCCAGGCAACGGACACCCTGGACGCACATCAGGTATTTTTCTCCCATTCGTCGTTCATTTGATTCACCTGACCTGCCCGAGTGTGTAATCACTACCTGCCCGTAAAATTCCAGAACACTAAAACTTGCCCGTTTCAGCAACTATTTGTGAATACCTGACGTAGTGCAGGACTCCGGCCTCGATGAGCTTCATTTGACTGGAGCTGAGCACCGTGGGTGACGTCACACACTTTATACAGTCCACTTCTTTATATGGTTTATGATGCAAACGAAGAGCTCCACAGTCACTGGGGGGTATTTTACTACTATGGGGTATTAACTGTTTAGATCACCAAATTTTGTTTTGAATAGGCTATATTCATCGAAAACAATGTACTATATTAATATGTTTTATATGTTTCACCTTTGTTTTTCACACTGAGTCACCCCAAATTACATTACTCCCCCTTCAGTGCGCTATAGGAATAAGAATGTACACGGACAAAAAATGTTTATAAGAACACCAAGATCATGTAGAGCGCAGTGCAGTGTTCAGTGCCACTCAAATGAACCTCACCATGCTCACGATTACAGATAAACATTTATAGATACAGTCCAACTGATAAGCGTTGTGTCCAGACTTGCTGCATCAGAGCTCAGCCTTATTTTGCTAGGCTACAAACACCGTCTCCCAAGCAGAGTTTTACATTTTGTTCCCCCATCAACCCAAAACATGCACTAGTCTATATGATTGTTTTATTACTGAGTGGAATTCTACTCCAACATTTGGAGACCGGTGTGTGGCACTTCTCCAAACGCCCTGGGTGGGTCAAACAGACAACATGACAGGTTTTTCTCTTGCGTCTGTCTAAATACTAGAATAATATTGGACCATAACATTTACTCTGGTTCCACTCCAGATCTGTGTGTGTTTCTCAAAAACGTCCATTTTCATGCATTTGAAAGTTACGTCCTTAATTTAAGTGAGCAGATGGGCCTAATTATTTCAGCTCGTGCCCCAGCGTCTTTGCACAGGCCACATGTTCAAATGAACAACAGATTACATCTAAATTCTAAATTAGCCAAAAATAAATAATAGTTTCAATTCACCAATATATTTTATATATTAATAATTAAGCTTGGGTGACCAGATTTTCAAAATAAAAAAACGGGACATCCCTGGTTTGGGTGGGTTGGTAAAAATAAAATTGTGAAACGAGTGCATAATTAAATTGTTCTGCACTCGACACTAATGTGAGTAATTATAGTCAAGTTTTCTTTGTGTTTTGTTCATATTTAAGCAACTGTTCTATATTTTACCTGCATAAATGATAATTGATGCCTCTGTTTATTGTTGGCAGGTTTCAAAATGGTCAAAAATAGGGACTCCTGGGGCATTTTTTGTGTAAAACTGGGACAAATCCCTGGTTTTGGATAAATCTGCTGGGACAGTGGACACAGGGCTCAAAACTGGGACTGTCCCGGGTAAACAGGAACGTCTGGTTACCTTAAATTAAGTAAAACTCAAGTTATGTGAAGAGGGAAGCATTTGGCAATGCGCATGCGCAGACATGCAGCTTTATCGAACAGCAGAAATTGTCGTTAAAAGTCGCGCTCCTCTCAGCTCCTCGTGCTTTGGAAAAACAGTGACTGAAACGTAAACGCCGCATTTATCTTCGTGCGACTCTACGGGTTTAAGACCGAAGAGAGAACCTTTATTTACGTGTATTTCCACAAGTAAACTGTCCATGTCTCGTGTAAAGGAGGCGTGGCCAGCACCATATTCCCAAAATGCATTGCGTGTTTTTAAGTTTAAAGTAATTTTAAAGTCAAAAGTGAGTATTAGTTACACTTTTATCGACTTTATCGGTTTTAAACGAGCCTCACGTTGCTGTAGCGTTTTATTTCACGAAATGTTTCTGTATATGTAGCGTCACTGGCGGCCGCACCGTGACCCAGACTCGTAGGGCTCAGAATGGGCCGTCACACTTCGGCTCATACTCTTCAGTACACTCTTGTTTCTCTTCAGATCGTATAAATCTTTCGCCTTTTACTAAAGATTTCCGTGGAGAGGAACAATAAGAGTTTTACCCAATTTTTTGATGCCCTGCGCAAGTGGGGCTTCTTTTGCATGTTAAAGGAAAATGAGTGTAAAGAAGCTGGCGCGGTAGGAGTAAGTTACATGTGATATTCCTCGTGGAGGTGAACTTCTGATACGGCCCGGGGGCAGAATCGGCCCTTCAAAACCTTTAATCTGGCCCTCGGCTGATTTTTTTACTAAAATATTGTAATTATATTTTCTATTAAAATATTGGTAATTTTCTGTGGTGTTTATCACAGCAGCGTCTCTGTACGTGGCCCCTCCCACCAGAGCAGCACAAATGAAGACTTGTCTCTTTCCAAACGCTCTTAAAGGACGATCGTTTTGACTGTTGACCGTGACACCCTCATCAGAAAAATGTCCAACCTGAGAAAAGTGGAGCCGAGTGCAGAATTTTCCATGAAAAATTGACTTATTCCTATTTGAAAAACAAGTTCATGTTAAAACATTGTGTTGAAATTGCATTTTTCTTAAAGTTTCAGGTTTGTTCATAATAATATAATATTTTGTAAAAGAAAGGGTTCATCAATTAAAAAAGATTTCTGTAATAGATTTGCGTTTCTCTGCACAAATATTTGAACTTATTGTTATTTTTGGGGTTTATATGTCATGAGTTTTCTGATCTGGCCCCTTTGGGATCAAAGTAGGTTGGATACGGTCCCCAGACCAAAATGAGTTTGACACCCTTGCCCTACGGTTTAGAGGAGCTATTTCTGAATTAATAAATGTTCTGCATATAATGAGTAGAATTTGAGTATTTCCCATTATGTATGTTTCAGTTTGATGCCTAAGTTGGTGCACTGATAAATGGATAATATTTTATGTTTATAAGCATCTAACTGTTCCCCATCTAAGGGTCGCAGTGGCTCTTACATTTACTCTTTCTTTGCGACTGCTGAAATAAGTTTTTTGAAGGAGCTCACTGAAAAAAAAAGGTTGGAGACTCCTGCAGTAGAAATTTACCTTTATCTGAATTCAAAGTGACAACCGAGTATTTAAATTCACTCTCCTGCAAAAAGTCACAAAAATATATTATGGTATGTTAGATTTAGACTTACACAAAATGTATTGATCCACGAGGGAAATTATCTGGACACAGTAGCTCACACATCACGATATAATATAATTTTAAAAAAGAATGAAAAATATAAATGGGGATAATAAATTCTAAATAAGTAGCAAAAAATAGTATAGTAGTAAAATGTAAAACCTTAACTATTTACAAGAGGTCATAGGAACACAGTGCAACAATATTATAGGACATAGAGTTATTCCATCAGACGTAAATCTGTTGTAGTTAATTTTGTTACTTGTGTTGTCTACATATTATGGTTTAAGTTTGAAGTGGAGATTTACCTTTATTTTTTTACTGCTCGTGAATTCAAAGTGACAAATATTTATACTCACTCCCCTGGATAAAGCCATTCAAATGTTGCGGTATTTTAGTAATTTTATTTAATTTAGTAATTTAAGCACAAACATTCAGACATGATCCATACAGATAACAATCTATGATAGATAATGAGAAAATAAAGAACACTATGTACAGACTATAAAGATAAAAGGGGAAAAAAATAAAAAAAAAATAAAAAATGATTAATATAACTACAATTCACTCAGGCGGCCACACGAGGGCAGCAGAGGCGCGTGGATCTCATATGGTGTCTGCATTTTATGGATTACGCTTACGGTCTGTTATTTTACGTAAAACAAACTTTAATCACCATATTTTAGGCTATAAAATATAAAAAGTTAGAAAATAGTACTATTCACTTTTATGAAACGTAATTATTTATTTATATTAAAAAAATAATAATAATAAAATAAAATAAAAATTAAATGGCATAAATGGCCTAGTGATTCATACGAATACGTTAGTGTTAATTATAATTATATGTAGATAAATATCACCTTCATTTACATCATGAAAACCAAAACTACCTATAAAAATATATTCATGTGATACATACCTGCGTAGTGAATGAACTGATCAAACAAATAATAAAAACAAGCGATATAAGTGCACTTCTGGTTTATTATTTAGATTATGAACAGCATAAATCTTCATCCACAGTGCAAACACGTCATTTTGTTAAGTTATTTTTAATATACTATGTTGATAACTTCTATAAATAAACTTTCACCGTTACTATCTGCATGTCTTATATAAAATAGAGTTATTTTAGTCTATGTTATTTCACACCACCCGTTTTGAGAGTCTGTATTTTTTACGTCCCCCTCTCAGATGGCGTTAGTATCCAGTAACCCTGTATCATTTATGTTTTTATTCTATTTTATTTAGAATTACAAATACTGGACTTGATTGTTTTATCTGGTATTTAATAAAAACTAGAGAGACAAAAGATTCTGCTACCGTGGCAATTGCGGCGGCCATCTTGTGACTGTAAGGGCAACAAAATTTGAATCCTAGGTAAAAAAATTTTTCATCAATTGACTTGCCTGGTAAAATATTGAATAAATAAAATAAATAAAAAGTGTGGATGGTTGAACATGATGTGAGATGTGGGACCAGCCTCTCAAATCTGTAAAACAAATTTACCTTACGAATAGAGCAACCTATCTTATCTTGAGTAGGGTTGTACAGTCACAAAATGGCTGCCGGAACTGTAGTTGGTTACTTTCAGTTACCATGGCGACCAGCTCTCTAGACTGTATTGACTTTAGCGTTACAGATCTCAATTAAACACTTATATTTGAGATTGTGTACGTCTAAAACCAACAATCACTAGTGTAAATAAAACATTTTTGTGTATTTCTATGTGACAGTGATTTCCTGGAGCAGATCGGCCGGGAAGTATCCAAGTTTTCTCCCGGTGCTGACCTTGAGGTAGCCGCCCTTCTCGTCGCCTTTCTTCACCACGATCTGAAACGAGACGTAAAAACCGAGAGGGAAGTTTGTTATTGTGTATTGTGTAACATATCGCAGGATTTTCAGTTAGTCTAGTGTTAAACCCGAGAGTGGAAAGTAACACCTTTTAGGGAAGAAAATTTGTTTAATCAGATTTTGATTTTTAAATGGTGTTGAATTTCTCACTTTTAACTCACATTTTTAAATTCTGAAAAAAACTTGTTTGAGTATACTTTTTTCAACATGTTTAAAATTCAGTATAAAAAAAAAAATCACCTTTTAAATATTGAGCACAAATATTTTCAAGCCCTTACAACTCAAATTCAACAGTCAAAATTCAGAGTGTAAAATTCGCAGTGAAAAAAAATTCTCAGCAAAGAGCAAAGATTCCAAGACAGAAGCAATCGATCCAAAGTGATACGAATTTTTTATTTTATTTTTTTTATTTTTATTTTTTTTACATATATACAGTATTATACACTACACACACAAAGCAGACATTCAGATTCATTGAAAACAAAACAAAAAACAAAACAAAAACAACAAAAAAAGAAAGAATGTAAACATAACTTAACATATGACAGTAGATCCGATTTGACTTAGTAACAAACGGGAAATGGTGCGATGAAGTGATCTGATTGGTCAGAATTCGCCTCATCAGAACCTCATCTCTTATTTTTTAAGTGTAAACCCTGAACACAGATGAAAACGGCCAATAGGAAACAGACTCTGCCACGTGATTGATTGCTTTTGCCTTGGCATCTTGGAAAATTTTTCACTGCAACGAGAAGTGTCCCGCTTTAGGTTTGTGGAACTTCCGGTTAATGGTTTTCTGTGGCAAAATGTGTGTGAGTAAATGTCTTGACTACTCTCCACCAGCTTCATAAATCTGCCCCAACACCAAATCTTCAATCAACAAGGTCCACAAAGGATAAATATTCTAACATGAAGAATTTATCCACAACTATCAAGGGAAGAAAGACAAAAACTTAAAGGTGAACAACGACGATGCATTAGTGAACTACTGAACAAAACTAATGTTATGGTCATGAATAAAACAGAAGTAACTTGTTCACTCAGACTGATTCTACAATTAAAATTAAAAATCAATTTCATGATGTTGATATTAACATAGATGGATAGATTTGTGCAGTTCGGATGCGAGACATCTCTAGGAAACCATAAGATTAGTTTTGTTCAGTGTGTCACTAATGCATTGTCGTTGTTCTCCTTTAAGTTTTCGTCTTTCTTCCCTTTATAGTTGTGGATAAATTCAAAATTCTTCATGTTAAAATGTTTGTCCTTTGTGGACCTCGTTGGATGAAGATTTGGTGATGGGGCAGATTTATGAAGCTGGTGGAAAATACGATACACATTTACACAGATATTTTGCCACAGAAAACCATTAACCGGAAGTTCTGCAAACCTAAAGCGGGACACTTCCAGCTGTTGTGAAAAAGGTCTACTCGGACAAATTGTTGGTTTTGGATAAATCTGCTGGGACAGGTGACACAGAGCTCAAAAATGTGACTGTCCCGGGTAAATAGGCACGTCTGGTCACCCTAGTCTAGTTTCTTGCTCACTGTGCAGCTCTAATGTCTTTGCAGGGTATTTAAAGTGTGTGTCTGTGTATGTTACCTGGTCCTTCTTGAGTGTGATCTGGCCCATCTCTCTGTTCCCCACAAACGAGCGTGTGACTTTATAAACTCTCTCTGAGGCTTTGACTTTGATCAGATAGTTTGTGGGGAAGTATCCAGTCTTATCCCCCATTTTACCCTGAAAAATAAACAAGATCTCACTGTTCTCGCTGATCGACAAAGACCTCACACTGTAATATTTTGGACAATGAATAAAAAAAACAAAAACTGGGAATATATCAGATGTAATAACAAAGAATGACAAGTATCTGACAAAAACTGTTCTAACTGCATCTAAAAATAGAATTACAAAGAGTTGGTTGCAACCAGATCCACCCGCACAACAAGACTGTGTCAGGATTGTGGAGAGTATTTCAGTGATGGAAAGAATAACATATCATCTTAAACTGAAAAAGTACAAATATGGTGAGCAATGGGAAAAGTGGAAAGCTTTCATAAATGACACCAATAAAATAACAGTACATTAAAGTGTCATTACCAAATGCATGTTTAAATAAGAACCTGTAACTCCAGACTTTTATTTTGTCATTTTGATTTATATTGTTATGTTTTGAAATGTTTTTTAAAAATCAATAAAGCAAAGCTACAAAAAAAAAAAATCATCCAGTGAAGCCAGCCCCTCCGAATTTCTGTTTGAATCTCAAAAGTGTCTCATTTTGGAACAATCCGATCACAAGCTCACGTGTCTCACATTCAGAAAATCCTCGTGGCATTCACAATGAAATCTATAACTGATCTGACCTTGTTTTTCTCTTCTGCAGGAAAAATCTGTGATGTTCCTCAGGGTGTGTTCACACTCACACAGTCACCAGATGAAACTGGGACTAAACCCAGAATTAAATCTGGACCAGACAAAGTCAAGATTTGGACTTAAACTCTTCTAAAACTAGGGTTAACCGCCATGTTTGTGTTGACCTTAAGTGACCATGTGTTTGCCCAATTGGCTAATGCACCTGTCAGTCACGCCCCTCAAACACCTGTCAACCACGCCCCTCAAACACCTGTCAGTCACACCCCTCAAACACCTGTCAGTCACACCCCTCAGACACCTGTCAGTCACACCCCTCAGACACCTGTCAGTCACACCCCTCAGACACCTGTCAGTCATGCCCATCAGACACCTGTCAGTCATGCCCATCAGACACCTGTCAACCACGCCCCTCAAACACCTGTCAACCACGCCCCTCAAACATCTGTCAGTCACACCCCTCAGACACCTGTCAGTCATGCCCATCAGACACCTGTCAGTCACGCCCCTCAAACACCTGTCAGTCATGCCCATCAGACACCTGTCAGTCACGCCCCTCAAACACCTGTCAGTCACGCCCCTCAAACATCTGTCAGTCACGCCCCTCAAACATCTGTCAGTCACACCCCTCAGACACCTGTCAGTCATGCCCATCAGACACCTGTCAGTCACGCCCCTCAAACACCTGTCAGTCACGCCCCTCACACCTGTCAGTCACACCCCTCACACCTGTCAGTCACACCCCTCAGACACCTATCAGTCATGCCCATCAGACACCTGTCAACCACACCCCTCAAACACCTGTCAGTCACACCCCTCACACCTGTCAGTCACACCCCTCAGACACCTGTCAGTCACACCCCTCACACCTGTCAGTCATGCCCCTCAGACACCTGTCAGTCACGCCCCTCAGACACCTGTCAGTCACATTCATCAGACACCTGTCAGTCACGCCCATCAGACACCTGTCAACCACGCCCCTCAAACACCTGTCAACCACGCCCCTCAGACACCTGTCAGTCACGCCCCTCAAACACCTGTCAGTCACGCCCCTCAGACACCTGTCAGTCACGCCCCTCAGACACCTGTCAATCTCGCCCATTAGACACCTGTCAATCAATCACCCCCCTCAGACACCTGTCAGTCACGCCAATCAGATTCAGCAGACAGGTTTCAGTTCCAAACTCACCCTCCACCACTCCTCGTTGGAGTCGTCCAGCACAGTGATCCGGTCTCCAGGGCTGAAATACAAAAGTACATTTATATGTATCAGTGCTTTACTCTAATATTTAACCTGTCACGTGAACATAAACGTGTGTGAACTCACTGGAAGTCGAGGTCGTCCTTCTCGATGGCCTTAAAGCGATACAGAGCCAGGTAATAGTGCGACTGAGAGAACGCCTTGGTCTGTTCAGGGGAGAGATCAGGAGAAAAAGGATTTTAAAGAATTGTTGGTAAGGTTTTGATTTCTACAAACATGTTCTGAGATACATGTGATTCTTGTATTGCTTTAGTAGTTCACATTTCAGTTTATGTTTCTGCACGAGGTTGAACTGATTGTTAATTAAAGAAAAATATCTTCATAATTGCAGAATGTGTCAGGAAAATAAAGCTCAGATAAATCAGACAAATAACAAATACACCTCTGACCTTATCATCGGCTTTGTCTCCTCCTTTCTCCTTTTTGTCGTCTGGTTTTCCTGGAACAGTAACGTGTTTATACAGGATTGTTCCTCTAATCCTAAAGACTGCAGACTGCCTCTGTGTCCACGAGCAAGACACTGAAATCTGGTTAAACTCACGATTTAATATATTATACTAAATATATATTATTTTAAATCAGGAATATACTGGAACAGAAAACACATTTAAAAAGAGGACTAAAGACTGTTCAGCCTGGACCAGGTCTAAACTAGGTCTAAACTAGGACTAAACCAGGACTAAACCAGGTCCAAACCAGGTCTAAACCAGGTCTAAACTAGGACTAAACCAGGACTAAACCAGGTCCAAACCAGGTCTAAGACAGGTCTAAACCAGGACTAAATCCAGACTACATCAGGACTAACCCAGATCTAAACCAGATCTAAACACAGACTACACCAGGACTAAACCAGGACTAAACAAGGACTACACCAGGACTAAATCAGGACTAAACCAGGACTAAACCAGATCTGAACTAATAAAAATAATACTTTAATGTAATTTTATATTGTGGATTTTTCAAACAATTCTTTTTGTACTTTTAGAATTCCAACATTTAAAGTTATAATATTTTAAAGTGCACGTGACGAGTTTGACTCCTCATTTCACTAAAACAGTTTACATGATTATATTACAAAAAACAAAACAAACAAACAAACAAAAAAACTCAATAAAAAAACAACCATAATGTAAACAAGGGTCAAGACCTAAAGTCTAAATTACAACATAGTTTTACACAAAAATGTTCTCTGCATTTTAGAAGGAGTTTTCAGTGTTGATGACCTAGATAAAATGGATTCTGTTTTAAAACTCACCACTGCTTCTGCATTTTTGTGCTTTTCTTTTCGAGTTCTTCAAACAGCCTCTTAACTGATGTAAAACTGTGACAAATATTTACCACAGGAACTAGAAAAAAACTGAAATCTGATCGTACCTTCTCCTCCTTCTTCATTCTCTTTGGGCTGCTGGTTTTCCTCCTCTTCCTCTTCCATCATCATAATCTTTAGATAAAACATAAACATTTTTACTTTTCATTTCCCTCATAAACCGGGTCAAATCCAGTTCAACGTTTACATTCTTCTTGTCATTCTCTCCCTTCTTGCGCTCCTTGTTGGCCATGATGACTCCCACTCTCAGCGTGTCGAACACCGGGTCATTTCTGTTCACGTTGTCTGTCAATCGGAAATAATTTGCCAATTAATTACAACAAAATAGTTCGATCGATTTAAACATGAAAGTATATTATTACATTTATATTTTAGCTCTTTGTTATTATAATATTGTGATGTGTGAGCTGTGTCCAAATCATTTCCCTTGTGGATCCAAAACTAGTTATTTGTTCCAGTTTAATTCAAGAAATGTCCAAGGTGTCCCTATTTTTGACCAATTTAAAACCTACCAACAATAAAAAGAGGCATAAACTGTCATTTCTTTAGGTAAAATACAGAAAAGCTGCTTAAAAGTGACTAAAACACAAAGAAAATGTGACTATACTGACTCACATTAGTGCCGAGTGCAGAACAATTTACTTTGATTACAAACTCGTTTCACAATTTTATAACCGGGATGTCGCAGTTTTTTATTTTGAAAATCCGGTCACTCTATACAAGATACAAACTCAGACACAACCCATAAAAAACTGTCCACTGCAAATAATGACCCCAGTCCACAAAACAGCACTGTTAATCCAGTTTGAGTCATTCGTTAAAAGTAAAAAGGCAAGAGTCACATGTGTCTGTTTACATCCACACAGCGCACGGATCGAGGTGAAGCTGCAAATCAAAGTATCTGATTCTGGATCTGATTTGCACCACATTTCACAAATAATAATAACACAGTTTTTTCTATCTAAACTAGAAGTGCAGAGCTCTGACCTTTTGAACACGTAAGAGTCTCAGAGCAACTTTAGACAGGAAACAGCTGACATGATCGCGCTCACTGCTTAATATCTTGTGGTCTGCAGACAGATCCTGCTGCAGATCACAGATTTAAAATCTCACCAGATTCTCCTTGTGTCTGTGTGGTACAAATGCAAATAATCATTGTGTCATTGAAATAAAAATTTGGGAAATTCAAAGAACTGCTGTGTGTATCTTTCTTTTTTGAAAATTTTTTGTCTTTGGACCCAGCACACAGTCGCACTTTTTTGTTGGCTGTGCATGTCTCTTTTTAGCCAGGCTGGCGCCATCTAGTGCCTCCACTCGATTTCATTTCTCTCCAACGACTAGACCAGGAATCAGAATACACTAGACGGTTCACAAAAACCCTGGAAGTGCGAGTCCGGGCACCAGCCATCCAGCAAAGAGCCATACATTCACTGTTGGCAACAATTCCTGAGATCTTATTTAAAGCCGTAATAAAGAGAATGTTTGGTGAATTTCATCAAGGGGAAAGACGTTATTGCCCTTCTTCCTACAGGATTTGGGAAAAGCTTAATATACCAGTTAACTCCATTAGCGGCGCATTACATACATCAGGACCAAACAGCAGCGATTGGTTAAATAAAAAAGTACCCACCTACCTTCGAGCGAACAAATCCTAATGCTGCTGCCAGTCAGACGGTTTCTACAAAGTGAAACTGGCTGATGAATCAGGCTAGTCTTTATCTACCAATAATAATAAATGTGTAAAACGAGTGCGTAATTAAGGTAAATTGTTCCGCATTCAGCACAAATGTGAGTCAGTATCATCACATTTTCTTTTTGTTTTGGTCATTTTTAAGCAGCTTTTCTGTATTTTACATAAACAAATGACAATTTATACTTCTTTTTACTGTTGGCAGGCAAAAAATTGGTCAAAAACAAGGACATTTCTTGCATAAAACTGGGACAAATCACTGGTTTTGGATAAATCTGTTGGGACAGGGGACACAGGATTCAAAACTGGGACTGTCTTGGGTAAATAGGGAAGTCTGGACACCCTAAACTTAATCAAACATATTAAAATATATGTTGTGATCTAGTGATTGTGTTAGCTGATAAGAAAATACATTATTATATCATAATCAATGTGCTCACTGGGGTCGGGGATGTCGCTGCTGTACAGGGGGGAGCTGTACGCCCTTCGGAATCCTGGAGGCTGTAAAAAAACAGCGTTTGTTTTAGTAACATTTTCAGGATCACCCAAATGTTCTTTTCTAATTACAATAAAACTCACGATTTTTCCGAAACACCTCTGAAACTCGACGTAGGACTGGCACGCGTGGTGGATGTTGGTCTTGCAGTTTTTACACCTCAGGGCAAATTTGTTATTCACTAAAAAAACATGATATTATTGAAAGAGTTAGTACATCTGAGAACTTGCTGTGGACGACCTGACTCCCACTGACAGACTGGATAAAGAAGTGGACTAAATAAGTGTGAACATCAGGATCACAGAGCGGTAGAGCGGGTTAATATGAATATTTTAAGCTAACATAAGGAGTCTGGCAGCAGTTACAGAGAGAGGGGCAATTGTTTTTTTAATACAAAGTGAACTGGAGGTGGAGTCGATGGAGCCAGAAGTGCCCCCATGGTCACTTCCTATTTGGAACACGGCGACTTGCTGGTTAGCTACGTATGTTCATTTATATCAAGCCCTGGGACCTAAAAATGGCCGCCCAGTCAAATCAATGGACCGAGCTCAATGGTGCAGGTCTCCAGATTCGCCTTTAGCCCGGTGAGGTACTTCCTGCGGCTCCCCGCCCATTGAACATGCGCAGTAGTGCTCTTTTCTCCCGCCAGCACCATACACCCTATATATGAAGAATGGGCTTAGCTAACACGCTCGCCGTCACGTTCCAAACAGGAAGTGCACCAGGACGCTCTTCCGGCTCCTTCTGACCCTGGCTCCTACTGACTCACATTAGGATCTTGTGGGTCCTCTCTGTTTGTAACTGCCAGTGTTGGGAAGGTTACTTTTAAAATGTATTCCCCTACAGATTACATACCCCAAAATGTAGTTTGTAAAGTAATCCATTAAATTACTTAAGTAATATAATGAGTAATGTAATCTGAATAGTTTGGACGAGGAAATCTTCACATAAGAAGTTTTGTCTGTTAAAAGAAAGTAAAAAGGCCAGTCTTTAAAAATATTATGGATAGAAGAGGAGGAGAGGATTTAGTCCTGTTAAATCCTGTTTTAGACCTAGTTTAGTCCTAGTTTAGTCCTGGTTCAGTTCTGGTTTAGTCCTGGTTCAGTCCTGGTTTAGTCCTGGTTTAGTTCTGGTATAGTCCTGGGTTTAGACCTGGGTTTAGACCTGGGTTTAGACCTGGTTTAGACCTTGGTTTAGACCTGGTTTTAGACCTGGGTTTAGACCTGGGTTTAGACCTGGGTTTAGACCTGGTTTTAGACCTGGTTTAGACCTGGGTTTAGACCTGGTTTAGACCTTTAGACCTGGGTTTAGACCTGGTTTAGACCTGGTTTAGACCTGGGTTTAGACCTGGTTTAGACCTGGGTTTAGACCTGGTTTAGACCTGGGTTTAGACATGGTTTTAGACATGGTTTTAGACCTGGTTTAGTCCTGTTAAATCCTGTTTAAGACCTGGTTTTAGATCTGGTTTAGTCCTGGTTTAGTGTCCGGCAATGAGTGGAATTACTGAGAAAAGAAAAAAAAAGGGATATAGCCCCAAATGTAAAAACAGGAAAATACTGCTGTGTAATCCATTTATTTCAATAAAGTAACTGTAATCCAATTACCACTCACTGAAACAGTAACTGTAACTGAATACAGTTACTCATAATTTGTACTCTGATTACGTAACTCCAGTACATGTAATCTGTTACTCCCCAACACTGGTAACTGCTGCAGTGAGCCTCGACATTTGGCCTTAAAATGTTCGTATTAACCTACTCTACATGATCCTGAATTTTTCATTTTGCTATTTTGTCCCTAAATCAAGATTTGAACGGACAAAACGGACCAATCAGACGCAACAGGTTTGATTGACAGCTCGTCCCTCTTCCAGCTTTCTGGTGAGAAGGGCAGGCACATTTAACAACCTCGATCATGATTGGCTCTTGTGGTTGATACTCGTGATTGGATTTCCAAATATGGATCCTGGCTCCAGATTCGCTGCTGTAACCGTTAAAATCAGGAGCTTCATTTGAGCAGAGCTGAACACTGTGGGTGACGTCACACGACTAATCCACCTTTTTATACAGTCTATGGCGAGCACAGGCCACTGCACGCAAGCGGGCACAAGGAGCAGAGTGAACGATTAAAAAACTGTTTTTAACTGTTGAACTGAAGGATGTTTATGATTTTAAAATACGTAAAAATCACGACAAAATCTGTCATTTTTGAAAGTTGTAGGTGTCCTGTCAGCCGAACTTAAGCTATTTGTGATTATATTGTGCTCTTTGGGAAAAATCCATTCTGGGCAGAGTTCCAGTGAGTGTCCACTACGCCAACTGGAGACAGCTACAAGCAGCAATACCCTATCCAGTTATTTTAATATAATTATTTGAATAATGTACATACAGTCTGTGCTCCCACTACTGTATACTTGTGTGCTTGTGTCTGTTGTACTAATCTAGTTATCATCCGTGACACCCATGGATCATTATGTTAAAATTTGCACATTTTAAATCGTAATATCCATCTAAAACAATTAAATTAAAGAAACAAGTCCACTGATTTCCGTGTTTAAAAACTGAGATACCCAATGGGAGCTGACGTCACTGTAAACTCCATCACAACAGCACCTCTGACGGAGACCTGCACATCGCACAACGAGCAGCAGATCTTTTTGGCACATCGGCAAAATGGCATCTTGAAAATAAATGATTAAATACAACTCAAACATGCAGGAATCACTCCAAATGCAATTTCTGGTGAGTGAATGGTGACGGACACGACTGTAATATTGGTAAAAGCTCTAAACTGTTGATTTTAGGTCCATATGTGTGTGTGTTTGTGTTTGTGTGTGTGTCTATGTGTGTGTGACGTACAGACGATCATCCGGGCACACACGTCACAGAACTTGGGCTTCTTGCAGTAGTGGTCCTTAAACTTGTGCGGTTTATCGTTGACCATCAAAACAGGCTCAGGCGGCTCGGGCTCCTTCTCCTCCACCTCCACCTCCTCCTCATAGATGAAGTACACCTACACACACACACACACAAAGTAATGAAGTACACCTACACACACACACACAAAGTAATGAAGTACACCTGCACACACAAAGTAATAAGTACACCTACACACAAACAAAGTATACTCACAAATACTGAATGCACACTACAAGGACTTTATTGGTTTCATAGGAGAATTTAATTTCCCTTCACTGGCTCCTGTGTGTTTTAAAATTGATTTTAAGGCTTTATTGATCACTTTTAAAGCTCGTTTAGGTCTTGTACCAAGTTACATTTCAGAACTTTTAACCCCGTATGAGCCTCCTGCAGCCTTAGATCCTCAGGCAGGTCCCTGTGGCTTTTCCAAAGTCCAGACTCCAGGTGAAGGTGATGGAGCCTTTTCCGTCCAAGCACCTCAGCTTTGGAACAACCTGCCTGAGGAGATAAGACTCGCACCATCATGTTTCATCTTTTAAATCACCTCTTAAAACTCATTTTTATCAGTTGACCTTCCTTTAACTGGTTTTAGCTTGATGTTATTCCTTATTTATCCATGCATCCATTTTCTTTCCGCTTATCCAGGGCCGGGTCACGAGGCCAGGAGTCTAAACAGGGACTCCCAGACTTTCTTCACCAAGGCGTTCCCAGGCCAGCCCAGAGACATAATCCCTCCAGTGTGTCCTGGGTGTTCCCGGGGCCTCCTTTCGACTGCTCGTATCTGAGATCTTGTCCTTTCGGTCATTACCCAGAGCTCATGACCATAGGGGAGGAGACGAACATAGACTGACGGTAAATCCAGAGCTTTGCCTTTTGGCTCAGCTCCCTTTTTACCACAATGGTCCAATACAGCGACTGCATCACTGCCGACGCTGCACCGATTCCCCTGTCAATCTCACGCTCCATCCTCCCCTCACTCGTGAACAAGACCCCGAGATACTTGAAGTCCTCCACTTATTTATTATAATTATTTGAACTGATTGCTTCATTGTCTGATTTTGTGTGCCTTCTGGGTGCTATTTTTATTGTTCTCTAAGCCTCTTACAGCACATTATGAAAATTCTTTTTAAAAGTGATATATAAATAAAGATTTATTATTATTATTACAAAATTTGTCATTAAATATTAGAGGTAAATTATCAAAGGTGAATTTATAGGTGGTTTATATTATTGACTAGACCCAAGACCATTTCTATATAACAACAAAAATACGGCACAGTCACTGATAAACCAAAACAAAACTTCACCCCCCCGATCATCTCATTAACATTTTCTCTTGTAGTTTTGAAGAACACAAAGCTGTCTGTCAGGGCCCATATGCTGCCCCTGTCCCAGCCCTAGGTCCAGTTTGGAGGTCCACCCTGCAGGTCCAGGCTGTAGCTCCACTCACCGTCTCCCCTCCATCTTCCTTCACAAAGTTATCAGGCTGTGGAGGATTGTCATGGATGTCCACCGATTGTTTGTCATCCTCCCTGTAACATAAAAGGAGCCAGTGAGAGGAGAAGAAGAAGAGACCTGACCTCTCATCTGGAGCAGGTCAGGGCTTGGCATTGTGAAGGTGACAACAGCGTGGAGAAGCAATTTCACTGAAGCTCAATGCAAGTGAGTGTAGCATGGGTGTAGGTTTGTTCAAGGAAATGTTAACAGGTTTAAATATGGACACTCACCCGTCCATGGTGGGATGGAGATCAGATGTGGTGCCCGAAAAGAACTGAAAAACAAAGAATTCAAATTTTTTTTTTTTCAATAAGTGGGTTTAAAAAGTACCAACACCATAGAGCACACTTTTTCTCTCTGTCTCGGTTATAACATAATGAAACAAAGATGTAAAAAAAAGATGAAATACCTGAACAAGTAACGGGACAATTTAAGAAATGTACCACCTATTACTATTTCGTCCCTCAGCCACAAACCTTGCGTCACTGTAGACTGATTTTAAACTTATCAAGCAGGTCAGTCCTGTGGTTAAATCCAGTTTTTATCACCTTCGTCTTTTATCCACAGTGAAATCTTTTAACAATTTTGAACAGGTTGTGCACACTTTTATCTCTTCTTGTCCGGACTACTGCAGTGAACTCCACACAGGAATCGACCAAAATGCACTGCTGCAGTTTGTCCAGAACTCTATGCATCTTTTAACCGAGTAAAAAGCGCGATCACTTTACCCCAATTCTTGCGTCATTGCTCTTGCTTCCTGTTAATTTTAGGATTGATTTTAAGATTTTATTATTTGTTTTTAAAGCTTTGAATGGACTGGCCCCATGTTACATCTCAGACCTTATCCATTGTATCGTTTAATGTGATGATATATCGTCAAGAGAGAGTATTTTTTGGTTTATTTTACTAAATGTATTTTGTTACCACGGTACAGTTTTGTTGTTTGTTTTGAGGTAGGAAACTCATTTATGCGATACATTTGATATTTTCACTGTTTTGATGATTAAAATGTTTGTGTTTCATATGAACTTTGCACAAGAAGTGGTTTAACAAAGACTTTTAGTATCACAGCCATGATTTAAAGGTTGTATGGAGGATTTTTTTTTGTTTCAAATTGTCAATGATAGCATTATAGAGATGCAGTAGCCTTGTAATTATGATGACCAAAAAAAAGAGAATAAAAATTCATCAACTCTGGACGTGGTGGGGCTAAACATTTGCCAATAGATAACGACACTGCCTCGTTATCTGTTAGCTGACAGGCTGTCAATCAATCTCCCTACGTTTCTAGCGTAACTGACTTGCCTGCGCGCCGCCGTTACGTGGTTTACGTACGCCTGTCACGCAGTCCACAGACGCAAGCCACACAGACGCTGTTTACTCCACCAACGCAACAGTTCTTAGCGGCTTTTTTTTACCTATATCTTCCTCGCAGTTCGCACAAAGTTTGTTGCAATGGCGACAAGAATCCAGGAGCAGTTAGCCGCAAAAGAAAGTCAGTTTTTGAGATTGCTGAAAGAAGAAGACAAGGGGAAAAGCAGCGAAGCCAAACTAAGGTGATTCTTGAAAATTCATTCCAGCGATGGCGCAACTGAAGCAGACGCAGGGTCTAAAGACTGACGCACTGGTCGCCAAATTACTCCTGGACAGGTCAACTTCTGCTTATTATGAAAACGTACTTTATTTCCAAGAGCTAGACAAACGTTTTTCAGGACACGAAAGCGATATCCTATGTCTGAAAACGTAATTTTCAATGCAAAGAAAGAGTCCGCTTGCTGCTGCGTGTTGTAGCTAGTTCATTCGCACGGAATCTCCGTGCAACCTTCTCTGCTCCCCTTTCCTGCTCCTGTCCCCGCTGCCCGTTCCGCTCTTCCCCCTGCTCCTCACTTCTCCGGGCACGGAATCTCCGCGCACCGCTCCCCTCTCCTCTCTCCTCTCTCCTCTCTCCTGCTCCGCTCTCTCTTCTCCCTGCTCCTCACTTCTCGTCCGCGCACGAAAATGTCCGCACACCCGCTCCCCCCGCTCCTCACTTCTCCGCCTTGCCTAACCAACACTGTAGTTAGTTGTTTACAAGTCATGTGCAGCGCACCGGCTGTAAACAAACCTGTTTCTGGTTTCTGGCGTAAAGAGGAGGCGGGAGAAGGCGTTTCTACGTAGGGAGCTGTAGGGGAGGGGGGGTGGTTTCACGCATGCGCAACATTTGAAAAAGGACAAACAGTCGCTGGATTTCTCGTTCCTTGGAAAATCCTCTATACAACCTTTAACCTTTCATTTTTTACTGAAAAGTTTTGTATTGATTTGAAATATATCGTATCGAATTGCATCAAATTGAAAGATCACTGTATCGTATCGGCAACTTCTGAATATCCAGACCTACTTAGTTTTGCTGGGAATCCTTCATGGTATATTTTATTGTGTTTGTGATGAAGTGATTCAATAATCTCATCAAACGTTTCTATATTAAAAGATGCACTGCACAACTTAGAGATGTGTTTTCTCTAGAATGTTCCATGGTATAACTTGGTCCAAAGCAAGAAAAATTATCTGACATCGAAGGCTTTTTGCGGAAACGTAATTTGAAATTTTTTAAAAAAGCTTTTGGACATTGGCCATCTGAATAATAATACATATGTTATAAATCGCTTTTCACAGTAACACAAAACGCTTCACAAAAAAGTAACATTAAACAAAAATCTGAGTGTGCTGAGTTTTTTTTTTTTTCACTTTTAAATTCCTGTTCCTTGGATTTGCACGTCTACAAGAACTTCGGTGTGCGTTTCTGTTTCATTTGATGACTTTAAACACTTACATCTAGAGTTTATTCATTATAAGTGTTTCTGTTGCTCAAAAATACAATTCCTTCTGTGAAGAGGAGCACCTCTCCACAGATCTGACCTGTAATGTAGCATAGTTCTGTAACCTGTTTGTCTCCCTCATGATGGATCGGGTTAATCTGTACTGTGGAACATTCTAGACAAAGCAACAACATTTCCTCGACTAGAAATGTTACACAGTGCACCTTTAAAGATGTTTAAATCCTCAGATTAATCTCAAGCTTCTCCTGCAAACTCTTTTCTCTTGTATTTCTTGTATTTCTATATTTTTCTTACACGTAACCCTGCGGTATCTCTGTGCGCTCAGAACCACATTCGCCCAGCGGCCTGTGCCTATTCTCGGGCTCTGAAACCCAATCTCCTCCTCCTGACTAAAAATGGACTCTGGAACTGAACGACTCAAACACAAAATACTCACAAAGAACAATAACATTAGAATATTCATCATAATAGAAATATGGTAGTGTTTACTGGAAGAGTGTTGGTAATATGTAGAGCAAAACAGTCCTCAAATTTGATTAATTAAATGCCTATTATTATTGCAGATCTATAATGTTGATGCCTGGTTTTATGCACTCATGAATAAATCTAACTGTACCTTATCTAAGTTTTGCTGTTTCTCTTATTTTTAAGATGTAGAGAATAGTAAAAGTAAATAATTAAGAGTATTTTCTTCGTATTTTTTGTGTGTGTTTTTTTTCTCTTATGTTACGTATACTTCAAAATTGCTTAAAAAAAAAAAAAAGTGTGCTATTTGTGGTTTCAAGTTTGATTTCGATGCTTATGAATAGGCCCGATAAGCAAAACTGATTCCGATACCATGATAATAATAAGAACTCTTTTATTTAGACAAGAGGATGTGATTTTCCTCATTAAATCGTAGTACGTTCTTTTATATTTTCATGTGTTTTTTTATCTGTGTAATCCTTCAGTTTTCCAGGAAGGTTCCATAGTGGTTCATGGTAGTGTTGTAGTACTCGAGAGCGGTCTTGGTCTCATCTCGGACTCAATCGCATTTGGACTTGCGTTTGGGTCCTGTCTCAGTCTTGTCTCAGTCTTGTCTCGGTCTTGTTTCGGTCTTCTCTCGGTCTTGGTCTTGTCTCGGTTTCTTTTGTCTCGATCTTGGTCTTGTCTCTCTGTCTCGTCTTGTCTCGGTCTTGTCTCGGTCTTGTCTCGGTCTTGTCTCGTGTCTCGGTCTTGCTTTGGTCTTGTCTTGGTCTTGTCTCAGTCTTCTCTCGGTCTTGTCTTGGTCTTGTTTCGGTCTTGTCTCGGTCTTGTTTCAGTCCTGTCTCGGTCTCGTCTCGGTCTTGTTTCGATTTTGTCTCGATCTTGTTTCGGTTTGGTCTCAATTTTGTTTCGGTTTGGTCTCGGTCTTGTCTCGGTCCTGTCTCGGTCTTGTTTCGGTCTTGTCTCGTGTCTCGGTCTTGTTTCGGTCTTGTTCGGGTTTCTCGGTCTTGTCTTGTCTTGGTCTTGTCTCTTGTCTCGTCTTGTCTCGGTCTTGTCTCGGTCTTGTCTCGTCTTGTCTCGGTTTGTCTCGGTCTTCTCTCGTCTTGTCTTGTCTTGTCTTGTCTTGTCTTGTCTTGTCTTGTCTTGGTCTTGTCTTGTCTTGTCTTGTCTTGTCTTGTCAGTCTTGTGGTCTTGTCTCGTGTCTCGGTCTTGTTTTGTCTTGGTCTTGTCTTGCTCGGTCTTGCTTCGGTCTTGTCTCGGTCTTCTCTCGGTCTTCTCTCGGTCTTGTCTCGGTTTTGTCTCGTTCTTGTCTCAGTCTTGTCTCAGTCTTGTCTTGGTCTTGTCTCAGACTTGTCTCGGTCTTGTTTCAATCTTGTCTCAGTCTTGCTTCGGTCTTGTCTCGGTCTTGTCTAGGTCTTGTCTCGGTCTTGCCTTGGTCTTGTCTCGGTCTTGTTTCGGTCTTGTCTCGGTCTTGTCTCGGTTTTGTCTCATTCTTGTCTCAGTCTAGTCTCGGTCTTGTTTCGGTCTTGTCTCGGTCTTGTCTCGTTCTTGTGTCAGTCTTGTCTCAGTTTTGTTTCGATCCTGTTTTGGTTTTGTCTCGGTCTTATTTCAGTCTCGTCTTGGTCTTGTCTCGGTCTTGTTTCGATCTTGTCTCGGTCTTGTTTCGATCTTGTCTCAGACTTGTCTCGGTCTTGTTTCGGTCTCGTCTCAGACTCGAGGATAAAATGGAGAAAGATTTATAAAAACGTTGATATATTTGTGCCAAAATAACTGTAAATTACAAATAAATGTCAAAAATTACAAAAATGGACTTGATTTGGTTTTGCTGAACCATGGTCTCGGTCTTGTCTCAGTCTCGGCCTTTAAAAGTTGCGATCTTGTCTCGGTCTTGTCTCGGTCTCAGCCTTTAAAAGACTCGGTCTTGTCTCGGTCTCAACTCTCAGAGGTCTTGGTCTTGTCCTGGTCACAGGACTCTGTAGTCTCGGACTGGTCTTGGTCTCGATTAGTGCAGTCTTGACTACAACACTAATCCATGGGCGTAAACTAATCTATGTGCTTTTATTATTCATTATTATTATTAAATTCTATTAAAAGTTTTGTCAGATAATACATTCTTTAAAATGTTAATTCTTTACAATAACAAGGTAATGAAACAAATCAAATAACTTACCTTTTAAATCTGGACACTGGAAGTTGAATTATCTTCCAAAATGTTCCACAAACTCAAGATAAAAACCAAACGACCAAGTTCCAGCTTTGAAGTATCACTTCAAAAATCAAACTTGACTTTCCTCGGTGTTAAATAGTCCCTGTGTTTCTCGTGTCGTGATTCTTGGAGTAAACTAGGCCGAGCTTGTGTTTTGTTGAACTCGGGGTTAGCAGGGCTGCACTCGACCAAATGTCTGAGGGCCGGTCGGGGTGAGTGCTGGTGACAGGTGGCCCCTGACGGAACAGAGACGACAGGAGAAACCAGAGACGCCTGTACAGTAGGTCCACACGCAGGTTTTAGGGCTCCATTCTTTGTGGGGACATTACATCAACTTGCATCAAATCCTGGAGACAGATCCCAAACTTAACCAATAATTACTATTTGTCTTTACCTAAACAACCATAAAAACCCAAAGAACAAATTAGACTTAGACATAGACAAACTTTATTGATCCACAAGGGAAATTATTTGGACACAGTTGCTCACAATATAATAGCAGAGTAAAAAATATAAATGGTGATAATAAATTATAAATAAGTAGCAAAAAACAGCAAGAGACACGTGTCAAATAAGATATAATCTTTTAAATCTTTTGACTGGTAATGTAAATGTACAAATCAAAATAAAATAGAATGAGAAGTAATAACATAAAAACACAGCTTTATACAATGGTTATTGACTAATAAGGGTGAGTTGTTTAATTGTGATATTACACATTCTTGCGACTTTAATTAAATCATTAATTCATTCAATAAAACTTGCTTTTGAGCATTTGGAATTTCACTTTATAAAATGAATGTCTACTTTTGGAAAACACACTTTATAAACTTCACCTCTGTTTCCAGTGAGGTATTTAGGCCTGAAGCGCCCTCTGCTGTCAGTTACAGGAATTAATCAGAAAGTAAACAAATTAAGTCGTATCCCCCGTGAATGAAAAAGACTCCTTTTATGGACACTGATAAATCTTGAAGCAAAGACAAAGAGTTTATTTATTTTAGTTCAAAAATATATTTGATTTTAAAATCCAACCTCTCATCTCCTTCTTTTTGTTGTGGCCTTAGCACAGGGTCTTAACACATTACATAAATAAACCTTTGTGTTCAATTATACTTAAATTATCTTTAATATGAAAGTATTTTGTGTATTTATTCATACTGTACACAGTATACTGCAAAGTCACTTGTGTCAAACAGTTTAACTGTGTAAGTGTCGCCACACGATCCTGATCAGAACTAAACGATTCCAAAGCTCTTCTACATCATTTCAGACAAACACCATGATGACTCGACGTTGGTGAAGTGTTTTTCTTATAATTGATGGAAGTCTCAGGAAAATCAAGCAAATAATGATCATGTCAGTTTCTGCCTTTTGTCTTTTACCTTTTGCACGACTCCTTATTTTTGGATCATGATACAAAGACAGAGAACAGGAACTGACAAATAAAGGTTTTCACATACAAATACTTCTTCACTGTAGCAACTAGATGACACATTTTGGGAGCCCGACCTTTTATACTTTTGTCTGGACAAAACAGAAACTATGAAGTAATTTTTCTCAGGTTCCACTGTGGCAAGTGAAGGTCTTTTGATTTTGTAGGGCAGAATGGTCATAACCACATCACACATACAATAACAATGAAGTGGACTTTCCATTATTGCACGACTTAAAACTCCACGTATCTGATTGTCGAGGGGAGGAGCCTATTGTGTACAGTGTTGGGGAGTAACAGATTACATGTACCAGAGTTATGTAATCAGAGTACAAATTATGAGTAACTGTATTCAGTTACAGTTTACTGTTTCAGTGAGTGGTAATTGGATTACAGTTACTTTGTTGAAATAAATGGATTACACAGAGGTATTTTCCTGTTTTCATATTTTGGTCTAAACCAGGTCTAAACCAGGTCTAAACTAGGACTAAACTAGGACTAAACCAGGATAAAACCAGGTCTAAACCAGGTCTAAAACCAGGTCTAAACTAGGTCTAAACCAAGACTAAACCAGGACTAAAACCAGGTTTAAACCAGGTTTAAACCAGGAGTAAACAGGACTAAACCAGGACTAAAACCAGGTTTAAACCAGGTTTAAACCAGGACTAAACCAGGACTAAACCAGGACTAAACCAGGACTAAACCGGGACTAAACCGGGACTAAACCAGATCTAAAACAGGATTTAACAGGACTAAATCATGCTGCATGGACCGTGTTTCCTTCTCTTCTATCAATAATATTTTTTAATACGGTCAAGTAAAGTCTGAGCTTTTCATTTTCTTTTAACAGACAAAACTTCTTATGTGAAGATTTCCTCGTCTTTGCTTCTCTACAGCAAATCAAGTAATCCAAAATATTCAGATTACATTACTCACTTTAAGTAATTTAATGGATTCTGTTACAAGCTACATTTTGGGGTATGTAATCTGTAATCTGTAGGGGAATACATTTTAAAAGTAACCTTCCCAACACTGATTGTGTATGATTTTAGTGTTGGGGTAAACCACAGCACCTGGAGGAAATTACACAGCCACAGGGAGAAAGAGCAAACCACTGTGCCCCTGTGCTGCCAAACCTTTGCTTAGCTTTCTGTTAAAAGATCGATTTGTTGTTGTCTGTTTTGATATTTAAAGTGTGATCCCTGTCAAACACGGACCACACTCACTGTCTGCAGTGTGATCCAGTCTGGGCTCCACAACAAATAAATTGTAGACAGAGCACAAAGCTTATTTTCAAGGCTCCCAGAGAAAGTGCATTGCTGACTTGTTTCCAAAGGTTTCATAAGAGATAATTCCGATCCGCCATTGTGCCAAACAGAGTCCAAAACAATCGTGTGCTATTGTTATCCATCATTATATTTTCCAGCACGTGTGTGACAGGTGTTACCCACAATGCATCTGGGGCTAAACAGAATCACACTTCTACAAGGTCGGGGTGTGTTTTCTGACCGTGTTATGCGTAAACATTCACTGTGTCAGATCCACTGTGGAAGGCAGGAAAGTACAAAGGGTCATTCCATGCCAAATCTCCGAATGCTCCCGTCCCCAACCATCTCAGACTTGACTGAAAAAAATCTAGAAGTCCCAAATTTTAGCTCCCAACTCCTTATAGTTTTGTTATTAAAAAATATTTTGTCAACTCCCCCCTGACCTGTTTTGAGCAGAGTTTTCCGAGGAGCCACTTTCAAATTGCTGAATCTAAAAAACAATTTAAGATCGGTTCTTCAAATTTTCAAGGGTTAAAATTTGGCAAATGTACTTGTAGAATTTGGACTTTTACACATGTGCTTTTGATTTATCACACATTTCTGGGGGGTTGAATTTGCTTGAAAATTGTACTCTTCAAATCTGAGGGCATCTTTGAAGGACTGTGGAAAGTGCAATTTCAAAGACAGAGGTTTGATATTGAACATACACTTTCCCACACATGCTGAGTAATTTGTATTTTAAAACTGAACCTCTGTGATGAGCGCTCTAGAAGATATTAACTGTGAAAAATGGGAAAAATAAATTTGGTGCCATCTTTATCACGTTATACCAAAAAATTGACAGTACCCACCCACTTTTCCTATACATGCATCACAAATTTCAGACTTCAAGTCAATGCATACTGGGAAGGATTTTCCGAAAAAGTGAGCATCAAACCGCCATGTTTGATTTCCCCATGGGATGCTTCTATTGTCAAAGTCGATCTTTTCAAGTCTTTTGAACCATATCGCTTTTGTTTCTGGTTCTGATATTGTCATATTTTTGTTTTGGGATTTGGACATCGTAATTGTGTGGTTGTTGGATCCTAACAGCGGAAAACGGCTCGAAAAAATGGGCTTCGCTAGTTTGCGAACTCCATAAATGCAAAAGGGAATAAGATCTGTGTGACTGCAAACCTCTGTTCAAACTGTTTCCCTTCACAACGGAATTGAAAAATAGTGAAAGATGAAGGCGATGGGCAGGATTGATCCACAGGAAGGACCAAAAATTTAACCTTTGGCTGCCTAAGAAATCATCCCAAGTTTGCAGGGAACATTTTGTATATGGAGCGCCAACAAAACAAAATCCTGTTTGTTAAGCGAGAGGTGCAGAAGACAAACAGGCTGAGCTGCACTTTCTTGTTCTTGTTTAACTTTACAGCAACGTCTTGGTCTCTTTGCAGTGGAAGGTGTTTCTTGGTGAACAGCTGGTGCCTTTCGCTTTGGCGTTGACTTTTTAAATTCGTAACCAAGGTTGAGTGCTCCACATACAAAATGTTCACTGCAAACTTGGGATGATTTCTTAGGCAGTCAAAGGTTTCCTTTTTGGTCCTTCCTGTGGATCAATCCTGCCCATCCCCTTCACTTTTCACTATTTTTCAATTTCGTTGGGAAGGGAAACAGTTTGAACCGAGGTTTGCAGTCACACGCATCTGATTCACTTTTGCATTTAAATATGAGTTTGCAAACTTCCGAAGCCTGTTTTCCAGTGTTAGGATCCAACAACCACACAATTACAATGTCCGAATCCCTTAACTAAAATATGACAATATCAGAACCAGAAACAAAAGTGATATGGTTCAAAAGACGTGAAAAAATTGGCTTTGACAATAGATGCATCCCACTGGGAAAACAAACATGGAGGTTTGATACTCATTTTTTCAGAAAATCCTTCCCAGTATAAATTGCGCGATGACAGGAAGTCCGAAATTCATGTTGCATGTATTGGAAAGTGTGTGAACCTCTGAGAATTTTTTCAGTCAAATCTGAGATCAGAGATTTGGACTCTGGTTTCAGTCTTGACCCAATAAGTTCAAGAAGGCAGCGATAAAAACTTCAGCACTTTAACTGAAGTTTCATGAAATCCACGTTAAAAATGACAGATTGTCTTCAGAATTTCTGTTACAGATGAAAATAATCCGTCACTGATGCAGAATTCTCAGTTAGTGTGTCCTCTGTGGTGCACACGGACATTTTACACAAATCTGCCTTTTTTCTAGTTCTCCATTTACATCAATAGGATTCCCACATAAGTGAAGTACCAACCATAAAGGAAGTAGCAGTAAATGTAAAAGTTGTCAGGCGGAACAAGGTGAATATAAAACACCGTAAATACAGGACATGACAGAGCAGAGCATGTGTGTTTGTGAAAATCGTTGTCTATAAAAGATACTGGTTTTATTTAGTAACAGTGTGTAAGATGTATTTGTTTATTATTTATTAACTGTACTTGAGGGCCAACTATTCTTCCTGGGGTCTTGTTTTGATTTTTTATTAATAGTCAGCGCATAAAATAAATAGAGAATTATTGTTTAACCTTTGTTTAATTTGTCCATAGTTTCATAATCACGCTTGAAAAGAAGACACAGACTTCATAGAACTCTTGGCTGAACAAATGAAACAAAAGCCTCATGTTTTTTTTTGGAGCTGTGCCAAAGATTTAAAACAGATTTTTAACTAACTGTATGTTACAGAAATCCCAATAGACTTCATTAGGTCCCAGGTGAAATACTCAGAGGAGCAGAGAAAGTTTTCACAAAAACAGATTTGTGTTGCCATTTTGTCTGTGCATCAAAACTTAGTGGATCGAATGCTGATCAGTCGTCATTATATTTAAAAGCTCCAGCTAATCTTATCCAGGTTAATTTTATTTATAAATGGCATTCAAACCACAACCGGCTGCTGCCCATGTGCTGTACAACAGATAATATTGAATCCAGATAAGTCCTGTTTTTATGTAAAGCAGATGACTTTCAAAAAACCATTGCACCCCAAGTCTCAACATGTCCACGGTTCAGGTTCTTGTTACAAATGAGCCGTGGTCATTAGAAAAGTATTGTTAAAGAAGTTCACAGCTGAAGGTTCAGGACAGGCTTCACCGGCTGTGGATCTGTGATGACGCAAACAGCGAGGAGGAAGCCACAGATGCTATTGTGTTCATGGTTATGGAACTTAATATGACTTCACCTTTAACTCAGAAGGAACTGTTGTGTCATGTTCTGCACGCACTGGAAGACACTGGGATCTGTGTGCGGACTGTTATATATTACATCATACTTGATCTTTGCCATATGGGCAAACTTCTGAAGCCATATGGAATCTTGTGATCACCGTTTGGTAAAGCAGAACACATAAACTGTACAGTAGAACAGCACTAGAATCACATAATCACAGAGCTGCATAAACATTGATTTTAAAGTTGCACTGTGTAACTTTGCCGGTGGAGGACCCGCCACTTGCTTGTCTCTAAGGCAGGACTCTCCGACCTTTTTTCTCCAGTGAGCTCCTTCACGAAACAAAAATGCCAGAGAGCAACCAATTTCAGCAGTTGCAATGAAAGTGAGTAAATATAAAAGCCACAGCCTTAGATGGGAAACAGTTAGATGCTTATAAAACATAAACCATTATCCATTTATCAGTGCACCAAATTAGGCATCAAACTGAAACATTTACCATGGTAAATAATACAATTTTACTTATTATAAACAATACATAAAATTCAGTAATCCCTTAGTGAGCGACTTGGAAGGGGGTGGAGAGCTATAGGTTGGAGACCCCTGTTCTAAGGAATGTTATTATTTGCCTGGAATGTTCCACAGTATGGCAATAAGCTTATCCATCTCCATGGAGTCAAACATGTGATGCCAGCAATTCAAGTTACAGGCCAAATGTGGTCAGCTTTTCAAGCACTTTGGAGAAATAAAGTCACCTGGAATTGAATAAATGCAAGATTAGGGTGACCAGATGTCTATATTTACCCAGGACAGTCCCAGTTTGGAGCCCTGTGTCTCCTGTTCCAGCAGATTTATACAAAACCAGTGATTTGTCCCAGTTTCATACAACAAATGTCCCAAGTGTCCCTATTTTTGAGCAATTTGATCCCAGCCAACAGTAAGACCAAAACACAAAGAAATTGTGACTGTACTAACTCACATGTTAGACATGAATGGGCTGAGTGCAGAAGAATTTTCCTTAATTATGCACTTGTGCACTATTATTACCAACCAACCCAAACCGAGGGTGTCCCAGTTTTTATTTCGAAACTCTGGTCACCCTATGCAAGACTGATTAATTTAATGCCATACTGTGGAAGATTACAAAGCAAAACTACACAGGGCACCGTTAAGTGTCTGAAAATGAAGGCGAGATCTACTGTGTCACTTCTGAGCAGCTTTGGGTTGTTTTTCTGTTTTTCCCAAGAGACAGGAAACCCTACTCTAAAGTTTTCTTTATTTCCTTTTAGAATTTCACTGCTCTTACATAGGGTGCCCAGAATTTCAAAATCAAAAACTGGGACACCCCTGGTTTGTGGTGGCTGGTAATAATAAAATTGTGAAGGCAGGTAATGAAGAGAAACTGTTATTCATTCAGCCCTTTCATGATTATTTATGACATGTGAGTCTGTACAGTCACATCTTCTTTGTGTTTTGGTCATTTTTAAGCAGCTTTTCTGTATTTTACCTAAACAAATGACAGTTTAGGCCTCTCTTTACTGTTGACAGGGATCAAATTGGTCTTGTGTAAAACTGGGACAAATTAATGGTTTTGTATAAATCTGCTGGGACAGAGGACAAGGAACTGTCCAGGGTAAATAGGGACGTGTGGTCACCCTAATCTTACAATCACAAGATGGCCGCCATAATTGCCATGACAACAGAAGCCTACTCACGGGTCTCTCTAGTTTTGTTATGTTTCACTGCTAAGATCCAGATGCAGATGCAGCAGCAGCAGATGCACCGATCCTCGCTCTGTGGATTTATATAAACGCTTTTTACGCACTTTCCAAACTCGTACTGGCGCTGGAGTGGCGCAGGGAGCGGGTCCATCTGCGGAAAACAGAGCTAATGGATCAAAACGCGATGATGAGGACGCTGCAGCTCATAGCGTTACCTGTCCGACGTGAGTTTAGTCATTATTGTCGTATTTGGTGTACCCAGGTTTGTGTCCTGATAATGCAGTATTTAGCGGGGATGTTTTATTCTTAAGATTATTCTCAAATAGACACGGCACCGTAAGATCCGAAACATACGATCCGAAGTCTGGTCACGTCTCCCCGAACTCACGAAAAGCGAACAGGGGCCTCACGATCCTGTTTGTGTAGCGGAAGTTGGTTAGCCTTTTAGCTCAGATGCTAATTTTACGCGCTAATTATTGTCTAGAAAAAAATGCCAAAAGGTTTACACACTCCACAGTGACATTTAACAAGGCTTAATCTTCACGTAAATAAGATGGGTGGGTTTGTAGCAGCCAGAACCCTCTTGATTTTTCATAAATTATGATTTTTCCGGCTAATGCTAACTGCTACAGGGGGAAAACATGTACAAAAAAACAAACAAAAACAAAAACCACCGGGGACTCGATAAATCTAGGAAGCGTGATCTGTTTACTGTGGCTCTCGTGGTGACCATCTTGTTATTGTAACAAGCGACATTCTAATAGAAAATAATGTTAAAACTAGGGGTGTAGTATATAAATATTGAAATATTGATAATGATATAGTATCGTTTAATTTAATGATACATGATTGATATAATCAGCTGCCGTATCGATATATCAGCAAGAGTATTTTTAGGAATATTTTACCAAATTATTTTGTGTAATATAAAATGCGTGTTTTTCATGTTAAATTTGCACAAAAGTATTGGACTTAGTAGACTTTTAGTATCACAGCCAAGAGTACAAAAGAGTTTATTGTCAATTCTTCATATGAAAAATATATCATTGAAATTGTGTATCTCACTCCCATGCGCATAAATAAATAATAAATGGTAAATAGTGCAAAAGGCATATAGTGCAAGACACAAGACAGTACTTTTAAGGGGGGAGTCGGGGGGTCTGAGTCCAAGTGTTCTTTGGCGAGTTCTGTTCTTGGGGAGATGCAGATTCCTGCTTCCTGGCCTGCTAGGTGGTGAGAGAGGGGAGAGAGTTCAGCATCCTAACAGCCTGGTGGATGAAACTGTAAGTGAGTCTGGTGGTGCGGGAACAGAGGCTCCTGTACCTCCTTCTAGAGGGTAGGAGGCTGAACAGGTTGTGTGCGGGGTGACTTGCATCACTCACAATTGTAATGGCTTTGCAGGTAAGGCAGGTGGTGTATGTGCAGGTGAGGCGGGTGGTGTATTTGTCTTGCAGAGTAGCGAGTGGTGCACCAATGATCTTCCTGGCTGTGTTCACTATGCACTGCAGCTTTTGCCCCACACAGTGATGCGGCTGAAAGGTTCTCTCAGTGGTTCCTCTGTAGAATGTGGTTGTGATGGTGGTGAGGCTCTTGCCTGCTTGAATTTCCACAGGAAGTAGGAGCGCTGTTGGGCTTTCTTCACCAGTGATGCAGTGTTGGTCCAGGAGAGGTCCTCACTGATGTACACCCCCAGGAATTTAGTGCTGCTCTTTCCACAGCAGCACCGTCAATGGTCCGTGGCGGGTGTTGGATGTGGCCTCTCTGGAAGTCGACAACAATCTGCTTAGTCTTGCTGACATTCAGGTGGAGGTTGTTGTCTCTGCACCGCATGGTCAGAAGGGCTAACCTTTTTCTGTGGTGAGTCTCGTCGCTCTTGTTCATGAGACCCACCAGAGCTGTGTCGTCCGCGAATTTCACAAGGTGGTCTGTGCTGTAGATTGTGGTGCAGGCATGAGTCAGCAGGGTGAAGAGCAGAGGACTGAGCACGCAGCCTTGGGGAGCCCCTGTGCTCAGAGTGATGGTACTTGAAGTCTTGTTGCCAGCATGTTCTGCTTGTGGTCTCTGACTGAGGAAGTTTAGCAGCTGGTTGCAGAGGGAGATGCTGAGATCAGCTTGTCGAGTTTGCAGATGAGTTCTTGTGGTATTTTGGTGTTGAATGCTGAACTGAAGTTTATGAAAACCATTCTCACATACGAGTCTTTATTTTCCATATGGATGAGACATGATTTAGCTTTTTTTACACTGAACCATATCAAATATATTGTATCGAATTGTAGTGAATCAAAAAACATATCATATAATGGCCTGTGTATTGTATTGGCAACTTCTTAATGATACTTAACCCCAGTAAAATCAGCTACAGAGAACTTATTAAAGGGTCTAAATTGATATAATTGTCTAATAGTAGTGTGTTTGTGGTCACATTGATGCAAGGAACCTGTCTCCACCCGGACATTTGTACAGGGCTAGACTTCTTTCAGCCTAGTACGGGTCACTTGAACAGTAGAAACACTTTCAGGTTGTACTGATCTGCCCCGAAACAAACCCATGATAACGAAGCTCATGTAACACACCGGGTCCAGGGTCAGACTGGGTAAACCTGAGAGAGAACGATACTGTATCTCTGTTGTATTTTTTATTCACCACTCCCTCCATTGTGTCTCCAGACCCGATTCAGTCAGATTAGTTGGATCGTGGATAGTTATTTCAGTGGCGCAGAAGAATCGAAGGAGCTCAACTCAAACTTCTCTCACCTCAGATTACGCGACTTCCCACACGATAGTGAATCTACAGTGTCGGGAAATAACTGAATACTCTTTGTTTTCGTGTTATTCAAAGTACAGTTCTTTCCTAAAATCAAAGGAATACAAAGCGGTACTTGATCACACAATTATGGGTTCAACCTGCACACAACTACTAAGCAAAACAAAAAACACTGCAGGAAACACAGAGATAAACCTGTTTAATCCCATGCTGCTTTTATACACTACAATTCTGATGTGACTAGATGTTTTGTTATGGATTTAGACTAGACAAACTTTATGGATTCACAAAGGAAATTATTTGGACACAGTAGCTCACACATCACATTATAACATTACATAATAACAAGAAATATATAAATGGTAATAATAAATTCTAAATAAGTTACAAAAACGATAGCAAGAAACTGGTGTCAAATAAGGCATAATTATGTAAATGTACAATACAAAATAAAATAAAATCCCATGTGTGTCCCCGATCATCTAATTTGTCTGTCAGCCATGCCCATCTGAACGTGACTCACATCTTCTAAAGAAGTGTGTATAGTATTCAGTAGAGCCCGACCGATATATTGGTTGGCCGGTATTATCGGCCGATATGGACACCTAGAGGCATGCCGGCTATCGGCCGATATGCTTGCTGATAGGGGCCGACATTTCACGTGGGCGTGTGATACGTCGTTAAAAATCTTAGACTCTCTACATTATGTTCATTTAATCCAATTTACAGACAGATAAATGTCCAAATATGTGGCTCCACATCAGTATTTATCTAAGGAGTCATTTGTCTGTGTGTGTCCATACTGTCCCTGAACACACCACAGAGTCACGTCACTCATGTGTGTTTGTTTACACGCGCAGACACAGATCCAAACATTGAGATTATATTCTTTTTATGGACAATCGGTTTGAGTCTGGATTAAAAGGACATTTATTAGTGCAGACTTGTGATGTGAGGAGGAGCCTGTATGAGCGGTGAGTGTTGGAAATATGTCGACTCTGAAGCTAGTTTTGGTCATTTGTTATGGGTTAGCTGCTGTAGCTCTGTTACGGCCCCAGGCCTTAGTTCCAATTTGTTCTGTGTGTTCTAAATAAGTCTGACACACCTGGATTCCTGCTGCAGAAGCCCTGGTCCGTGATTGGTGGGGCAGGACGACGCCCACCTCACCTGCAGCCACCTCCCCCTATTTAAGGAGATTGCCTGTTCCGGGCTGCTGGCCTTGGTGGCCAGTATGCCATTTTGTGTTTGTGTGTGTAGTTTAGTTTAGTTCTGTTTTGTGCCTTTTTGATTTGGTCACTCGATTCTGTTTGTGGGTTTATGTGGTTTAATTTGGGGATCTTGTGTTTTGGTTTAATGTGTGTCCCTAAGTTTTACCACTTGTTTTTGTGTAAGCCTGCGTGACTCCTTTTCTGGCACAAAACTCTGTTTATTCTGTTGTTCTGTTTCTTAGGTTAGGTTGCTTTCTGTATATTTTTAGTCTTTTGTTAATTTACCTTTACATTCCTGTTAATTAAACATTATTTAATTTATTCCATTTTACATCTTGGTTTTATTTTTGTTACTTCCCTCACCCCAAACGAGTTGGGTCGTAACAAGCTCTCACACATAAACAGGCTGTTTTCTATTGGCGTATTGTAAAGTCACTACATTGGCCGTATATTTGTTACTGGACCTGCACTGATATGTAAATGAGCTGTGAATAGACGTGTGAATTATGACATTTGCGCATATAATTAATTACCGCGGCGCGCACGTATTTACGGCTAAAGGCCAATAGCGCTAGTTTCTTTTCTAGTTATGGGTCGGTCGCGAACGAAATGACTCTTAGAACCGGCTCTTTGAAGCCAACGACGGGAGCCTGATCCTTATTGGGAGCCGTGTTTTCTCTTTCTCTCACTTTTTTTCTCTTCACGTCGCGTGCAGACTCGTGGGAGTTTGACAGCGGCAGCGGCTGAAAACGAAACTTTGAGAAATTTGCGTGTGCATAGGATAAAAAAAAAAAAACTAAAAAAACGAGCATATTTGGCCGTAGTTTAGCATAAAATAAGTCCCGGTTTAGTCCTTTTTCATTTTTTTCAGTTTTTCAGGTCTGTGTTTATGATTCAATACGATATATTTCAAATCGATCCGATATGGTTCAATAAAAAATAAAGGCTAAATCATGGCTGTGATAGTAAAAGTCTTTGTTAAACCAGTTCTTGTGCAAAGTTCATATGAAACACAAACATTTTACTCATCAAAATGTCAAATGTGTCGCATAAACGAGTTTCCTTCCTCTGAACAAATAACAAAACTGTAGCACTGTAACAAAATAATTTTGTCAAATATACTAAAAAAAAATACTCTTGGAGATATATCGATACAGCAGCCCCTGATATTGATACTGTATCATCACATTAAACGATACGATATATCAATATTTCAATATTTTTGCACAACCGTTAATAGCGTGTATTCTGGATCTCAGCCTAAATGTGTGATCCCAAAAGAGCTTTGACTTCTCTAACAGCAGGAACAATCACACAAAAATACATATTACACATGTTGTACATTATCATAAATGGAGTTAATATGATTGACTGAGATTCAGGAGCAGGACCACGCCTTGACCTCCCCCTTCTCCTCTCCAGCGAACCACAGCTCTGCTAAAGCACACCTTCAGTTATCCAGAAGACCAATAAATATCTTTTCTTTATCTTATTTCATTTTTGTGGCATGGTCCTTGCTAGTCAAAAGTGAAAACATGCATAGCACTCTCAAACGGCCGATGTCCAAAATTTTATCCACTTTCAAAATAATGTTTTGGCAAAAAAAAACACGCCTTCATCAGATTTTTTTGCCGAAACGTTATTTTGAAAGTGGATAAGCTTTTGGACATCGGCCGTTTGACTGTGCTATGCATTTTTTTCACTTTTGTCTGGCTGCTTCTTGTATTTGCACTTCTACAAGAATTTTGGTGTGCGTTTTCTGTTTCTTTTGTGCTCCTTGCTAGTGAAATATATTTAAAGGTCTGCACTAGGCTTCTGTGCTTGTGAACCACTGCTACAGGTGGAGGTGCTTCATCCAACAGCCCCTGTGTGTCCAAACTTGACTGGTTGTGTATGTGTAAGGAGGAGCTCACAGCTTTGTTCTCCCATTGTCTCCTACAGGTGTCCACATCCCCTCTCTGAGTCCTGGTCACCCTCGAAGTCCTGGTTCCCCCCGAAGTCCTGACCCTCCTCGAAGTCCTGGTCCGGCTCTGAACCAGGAAATCCCAGAGACTCCACAGATAAAAGAGGAGCCAGAAGAACGAAGTATTGAACAGGAGGAAGAGCAAGAGTGAGTCTCATGAGCTGGGAGATATGACAAAAAACAAAAATAATTTCTTTCCTCATATTGTTCGATTCCAATTTTGATTAGATTTTTTTTTTTTTTTTTAACTTACTTTAAATAATCTATGTGTAAGATTTTTTTTATTCTGATCTGAATGGTCACTCCCTAAACCCCAGCACCTACACCAGTCATGAGTCAGTGCTAGTGCAGCCTCTGCAGCTCAGGGAGGGAATTCTGGACGTTCTGAGCTTTTACACGAGGCCTGAACATAAAATGAGAATGAGAAAAACCTTTATGTGTCCTTTATTTACAGGTTTAGGCTCTGGAAACCTAGGCTCAGTTGAGATTGTTGTACCTTTTTTTTTTTTTTTTTTAAAGAGAGAGAGCAGGCTACATACAGTTCCTTAATTCCTAATTAGTTTAATACATTTTCTAAAATAAAATAATACTTTCAATTGTTTGTGTGGAAAAATCCCTCAGTCATCCAGGTAAGAATCGTCCAGGTAGAATCCATGACAATTGAATTTCTCCTTTGCCACTTTCAGTTGTTGTCTTTTAACACAAATAATCACAATTCTGTGTCAGCCTGAACTCAAACCACATGGCTTTACTGACCGATCAAACTTCAAATTAGGGCTGGATATCATTCAGAAGTTGCTGATACGATACATATCTTGATACAGTGAGCTAATGATTCGATATGATTCAGTATATATTTCAAACTGATTCAATACTGTTCAATAAAAAATAAAGGCTAAATCATGGCTGTGATACTAAAAGTCTTTGTTAAACCATTTCTTGTGCAAAGTTCATATGAAGCACAAACATTTTAATCATTAAAACAGTGAAAATGTCAAATGTGTCGCATAAATAATCTTCCTTCCTGAACAAGCAACAAAACTGTAGCTCTGTAACAGTAATTTAGTAAAATAATTTGGCAGCATTAAATGATATATGTCGATATTTCATTATTTTTGCACACCCCTACTTTCAATGTTGTTATTATTTATGTATGTATTTAATGAATATTGAACATTTTCTCACAATAATAAAGAGCAGTGACATTATTGTGACCATCCTGTCGTGTCTTTGATTTATTTTCAGGTCTATCCCTGATTACATTGCTGTTTGTGTGAAGTCAGAAGAGGAAGAAGAGGAAGAGGACACACAGGAAGAGGACATCCCCTCGGAGGCACACGTCCGCTCAGAGGCACGCGTCCCCTCAGAGACCGAGGAAGACATGGAGCACTCTTCAGACTCTGACAACGACGAAGACTGGACGCAGAAGAAGACGGACGCCGATGGAGCCCACTTTAATCAACTCCAGATCAGAGCCAGGACTGTACAAAACTATTTATCGATATATCTGTGCCCCACGTACAAGTCTGCAGCAGAGACCAGTGCCGCTGTGAACAATGGAGACATGTCAGGAACAGCTGAAGGAATCGAGAGGACGAAACTGCCATGCCCGTTTTGTAAAAAGCGATATCTGTCTAAACAGGATCTACTAAGACACATCAGAGTCCACACGGGAGAGAACTTGATCAGCTGTTCCCTCTGTAACAAAACATTCACCAAAAAGATCAGCCTCACAGTCCACATGAAGACGCACACGGGCGAAAAACCTTACAGCTGCTCAGTTTGCATGAAGGCGTTTTCCGAAAAGAGTAATCTCGCTGCACACATGAGAACGCATATGGGAGAGAAACCTTACAGCTGTTCAATCTGTCAGAAAACATTTACGCGGAAAAGTAGTCTCGCGGTACACACCAGAACGCACACGGGAGACAAACCTTACAGCTGCTCATTGTGCGAGAAAACCTTCATCAAAAACAGCAATCTGGCCGTGCACATGAGGACACACACTGGAGACAAACCTTACAGCTGCTCGATTTGTAATAAACAATTCGCCAACAACGGTAATCTGACGGCACACATGGGAACGCACAGAGGAGACAAACCTTTCAGATGTTCAATTTGCAATAAGACATTCACGAGAAATAACAGCCTCGAAGTGCACATGAGGACCCACACGGGAGAAAAACCCTACAGCTGTTCGGTGTGTTTGAAAACGTTCTCCAGAAAGGGTAATCTCGGTGTACACATGGGGACGCACAGAGAGGAAAAACCTTGCAGCTGCTCGGACGGTTCGGAAGACTTGGCGCATTCGTCGTGCCAAAAATGTTGTCCAAGGACAGAGACTGGCGACAGAACTTTCAGCTGTTCAGTCTGTAAAGCGGAGTTCACCTGGAGCTCACATCTGAAGAGTCACATGAGAAGCCACACGGGGGAAAAACCTTACAGCTGTTCCATCTGTACGGCCCAGTTTGCCTGGAGCTCCAATTTGAAAAGACACATGGCGAGTCACTCAGGAGGCGAGAAAAAGGACGAAGAGGACAATGAAATCACGTCGGTTGTAATCAAGTGATGTTAAAATATTCTAAAGACTTTGTTTTTTAAAATGGAGATGGAATTATGTGATGGCATGTCCTGCTAAAGATTAAAATGTGTTTAAGATCAAAAATTGTGTTGTTGTTTTTTTACCTGGTTTATGGTTTAAGGCCCTACATTATGCAAATTTCCTCTTGATGTTGTTATCGCGGAGTTGTGTTTTGTTTCATTCACACGTTCGAGTAATCTGTCTACGTCTCCAAAGCTTTTTTTTTTTTTTTTAGTAACTTAAAACTAAAGCAAAACAATAACAAAATTGACGTGCATGTAAACTTAAGTTGAGGTCAAAAATAAAATCCTAATTTTTCTAAATGTATTGTTTGAGATACTGTTTAGTGTTTAACGATAATTTTTAATGTCTAGGATTTTAAATAGGGGTCTGGAATTTGAGAATTTGGTTTTATGGATGTGAAATTTTCCCAACAAAATGCACAGGTTTAATAAGTATTCATTTTTATATTGTTTATGATGGAAGTGGAATGAGACCAGAATTCCTTTAGAGAACTTACAATAATAAAAAAGATGAAGGACGTTTCCCAAGCTCAAAATGTTCTGTTCCACCTTAGGATTTTGTGATTGTTTCAAGTTAAGTGCTACATTTTACTTTTTTAGTTCAGTAGAGATTGGCAATTCCAGGGCTGAAACTATCGAAATGTTTCTTGTGAAGTTCTATGGAGTTAAAAAAAAAAAGCAATGGTGCACTTCCTGTATTAGCACATGACATCACAAGGTGGAGCAGAGTGTTTTCTGTTTGAGAAAAGAACTCAGCCTAAATATGCAGTTTGTGTTTTATACATGTGGGAATGAAACAAAACTCAACTCCAGGTCTGTTTGTGATGAGGAAACAACATGGTAACACTTCAGAAAATAGTGTAATAAGGGACTTTTTAATGTCTCTGTAATTATTGGGGTATTTGCAAGCATCAAAAGCTTGCACTAAGTTCAACACCTGTCAGCTCAAAATGGATAGATGCGTTCACAATACTGCCACTTATAACTTCTTGGGTTCTTTTTTAAACACAATACAGTAAAGTATATTTACCTTGTTGACATGTTTCGGCTGCTCACTGAAAGCCGTCTTTAGAACTGTCCCTGGAGTCGGTGGTGACGTGTCGTAGATCAGCTGTTAGTGTTATAGTCAGGACCACACTAATCGAGACCAAGACCAGTCCCAGTCCACAGGGTCCTGAGATCAAGACAAGACCAAGACCTCTGAGGGTCGAGACTGAGACAAGACCGAGACCACAGCCCCTCAAGACCAAATCAAGACCATCTTTGTGATTTCCTACATTTATTTGTATTTTACAGTTATTCTGACACATACTGTATATATCAATGTTTTTATAAATCTATCTCCATTTTATCTGATTAATATTAATTTAAGCTTAAAATAGGCCAAGCAAACTGTACTGCACTTAAGCTTAAACTCTGTGCCCGTTTTTTGCACCCTGACCCACAGTTTGAGAAACTCTTCTTTAATCCGACTTCCACTGGCACTTTACAGAAAACTGCTTCAAAGTGAATCAAGTAAGTTTTTTAAAGTTCATAACATTTACAGTGACATTATTTTACTGGTTTTGTAGTGATATTTAGCCTCTGCACATTTACCGGCCATAATTAAATAAGATTGCACACGTTGAGTGTTAGACCTCGAGTCCGAGATAAGATCAAAACCAAGAGCCATCGAGACCGAGACAAGATCGAGTCCAAATGTGCTCAAGACCGTAAAAAAGCGTTGTTATTACTTCTTTTTGGCGTTGTCAGACTGATGGACCTGCAGGTCGCTTAGACTGACCACGCCTCCAGTCACCAGGTGTTCTCTGGAGGAGGGTGTCCCAGGTGTTTGAAAGGAGGAACTCTCTGTCATCACGGTCAATGCTGTCTGTGCCTTGTTTCCTGATTTCAGTGACTTCCCTGATCCAGCGTTTGAACTTTTTGTTCTCTGATCTAACGACCCAAGCCCCGTCCCAAACCATAATGTGGTTATTTTTTTCCAGTGCTCTGATATGGCAGATTTTAGGCTTTCAGAAGATTCTGCAGCAGCCGAAACATGTCAACAAGGTAAATACACTTTAAAAGAGAAACCAAGAAATTAAAGTACATAAGAAGACAAAATGAACATCTTTGGTTGACTGTCATTTATACTGTGGCATCAACAACAAGAAAAGAAGTCTGGCCCATTTCTTTATCATTTGCATTATTCATTCATCCATCCATCCATTTTCTTCCGCTTATCCGGGGCCGATTACATGTCCTTGAGCAGTGCTTCCTGGCTTTTACTCCACTCAACTTTTTCTGATAAATGCACCTCTTCTCCATTCACAGCTTTAAGTCTCATTAGGCTTCTCCAAAATAAAAAACGCTATGGAAAAACAAATCCTAGGGCTATTTGACATTTGAGTACTGAAGTGCACCCTTATGTGTTGTTTGGAAGGTTGTTGACTTTAATTTGCCAAACTGAAGCTCACACAAAGTTTCAGTAAATAATAGGGATGGGACAAGATCTCGTGCCACAAGATCTCGCAAGACAAAATCGCCGCAAGATCGTGCACACATTCTAAAAATTATCTTGTGAGACTTTTTCCTCTTGCTTTTATGTTTAGACTGAAAAAAATACAGTACTGGCGAGCTACATTTTTTGAGAATGTGTAGTCCCATAAAGCAGAGCTACAGTGACAGCAGAAATATTGAAAAATGTAAATCAAAAATGGTGAGTCTAAAATTGGAAACTGAATTGCACAATGTATTTATTATAGCCTAAAAAATTTCAGAATCTCATCTTGATCCAATCTCTTGTCTCATCTCGTCCTGTGGAAATTGTATCTCGGCCCACCTCTAATAAATAATGATCTAAATTCTCCAAAATAAGAATGAAATAGTGTTCCCTATTAATTCAGTAAGGATTGGAACATGTTTTTAAAGATTAACAGGTTGTAATAGATGGACAGGAGTGTTGTCAGTTTGTACGATTATGTATCATCACAAATAGAGGAAGGGGGGCACCATAAAATAATCTGAAATCTTCATTAAAAAAAACAAGCTAGGGCCAAAACTGCCTCAGTATTTCACTGTGTCTGTCTGGAGCTTTACCACCACAGAAATCCTGGGGCATCTGTGGTGCAGCAGACCCAGCGGTCCCAGACTGAGGGGAATAAAACTCTAGAGGAGAGTGTCAGTGTCTCATCCAGCAGCCATACTGGAGCAGTGGTTCTCAGTCTTTTTCAGCAGTTGGCTTTAGTGACACAAAATATAGGCTACCCACAAAAAAAATGAAGTAGCCTTAATGTTTAATACAAACTGGAGAACACTTGCAGACTAATGTAGATATAAACTATTTCCTTGTATTTCCTTTGCTCATGTGTAGGGCTACAGTGGTCTTTATATGAGAATGAAACAATATGAACGCATCTATTAAAAAAATAAATTACATCTTGTTTAAGGTGACCAGTCTTTGAAATCAGAAACTGGAACACCCCTCGTTTGGAGTGGTTGGTAACAATAAAACTGTCAAAATAGTGCATAATTAAGGAAAATTGTTCTGCACTCAGCCCATTCATGACTAACATACGAGTCAATATAGTCACATTTTCTTTGTGTTTTCCGTAATTTTACCTAAACAAATGACAATCTATGCCTCTCTTTACTGTTGGCAGGTCAAAAATAGGGACACTTGGGACATTTCTTGTATAAAACTGGGACAAATCACTGGTTTTATATAATTCCACTGGGACAGGGGACACAGGGCTCAAAACTGGGACTGCAGGTAAATAGGGACGTGTAGTCATCCTAAATTTGTTTCCCATTAGTCTGTGAAGATTATAAATTTTAAAATAGTTAAAGGAGTTTGAATGAAAAGGTAGGGTGACCAGATTTTCAAAATTCTAAACTGGGACACACCTGGGTTGGGATGGTTAATGATAAATACAACTGTGAAAAGAGCATGTAATATTGTTCATTTTCATGTCAGGCATAATCTGAGGGATTTATGTTGCTGCATTTTTTTGTTTTGTTTTGTTTTGCTTTATGGTCTTTCTCAAACATAGATTTCTGTATTTTGGCTAAACAAATGACAATTTACGCTCCTCTTTACTGTTGGCAGGGTCAGATTAGTAAAAAAAAAAAAAAATGTGACAGTCCGGTTTTAGTCCTGGTTTAGAGTTGATGTAGTCCTGGTTTAATCTTAGTTTAGTCCTGATTTAGCTCAGATTGGTCAAAAATAAGGACACCTGGGACATTTCTATGTATAAAACTGGGACCAATCACTGGTTTTGGATAAATCTGATGAGACAGGGGAAACAGGGCTCAAAACTTGGGGACTGTCCCGTGTAAATAGGGACGTCTGGCCCATTAAAAGATTACAAACTGGTGAGTGACAGCCGCGCTTCCTACCGTCACAAGATGGCGCCCGCGGCAGCGTTGCTATCGCTACGGTCGCTCTGGTGTGCACCCCCACTGCGCCTGCGCAACTCAAAACTCCATATTTTTTGCTCGGAATCCATAAAGAAAAAACACTGAACAACTGTGAATTTGGGGAGTACTTGTGTCTGCGCGGTTATGCTTCGTGGATCTATGTTAATCCAAGACACTCCACACGGGCAGAGACTGAGCTCCACCGGGACATCTGCGCGCTCGGAGCATCCTGCAGCCCTGTTCGGGACACTCCACACTCAAGTACATTTGTGCCCACTTCGCTCTGCTAGCTTAGCCTTAGCATGGAGAGGCGCAGGAAAATGAAGCGTTATTGCCCTTTGTTGTTTTTTTTGCACGGTGCTGGGACGTGCGTGCATTAAACGTAAAAGCCGAACAGTCTAAACACCCTTGTCTTTTACTCAGGAGACGGGAATCGTGTTGTAAAAACGGCTTTGTTGATGTATTTTCGTTAGCCCGTCTGCTAAATTCTCCCGCGACTCCCAAACTTTGCAGAAAGCTGGGACGAGGCGGGTTGAAACGTCCCGCTAATGTCCACAATAACGCACAAGCTTCGCATTTGAAACTTGAATTTAACTTTTAATCTCTTGCCTTTTGCGCTTTTGCTTTTACCCAAGTGCTGCTTAAAGTTGTTCCAAGTCTAAATTATATTAGTTGTGGAGTTGGCGCTTGCTACTTGGGATGTTTTGGCAATTACAATGCAAGATTAAGACAGATCAAATACAGACGTCAAAGTACACGTAAATCAGGGTGACCAAACGTCCCTTTTTACCCGGGACAGTCTCAGTTTTGAGCCCTGCGTTCCCTGTCCTAGCAGATTTATACAAAACCAGTGATTTGTCCCAGTTTTATACAAGAATTATCCATATTTTTGACCAATCTGATCCCTGGCAACAGTAAAAAGACTCATGCATTGTGATTTGATTAGGTAAAATAAAAAAAAATCTGCTTAAAAACAACCAAAACGCAAAGAAAATGTGACTATACTGCCTCACATGTTAGTCAGGAACGATCTGCATAACAATTTTCTATAATTACGCACTCGTTTCACAATTTTATTATTACTAAACTTAAAAAAACCGGGGCGTCCCAGTTTATTTTGAAATTCTGCTCACCCTAATGTAATAGAACAAATTGCATGTTAAATATTATATAATTAAAATTTTTTAGGAGCAGAAATACAGGCCTTGCTTAAATATTAGATGATTTAGGTGTGCGTAAAATCCAAATAGACTGTGGATGCTCGTACTGAATGTTATCCAAAATTAAATCTCTAATGAATTTATGTGGTTTAGTAGTGTTAAGTGTGAAAATTTATCATTTTTTATTTAAAATGTGCTCCCATATCCTTATTTATAGAAGTTAAAAGTTGAAGTGAAGCGGCGGTGTGCGTTTTGTGCTCCTGACAGCTGTCACGACAACACAGTACAAAGTAAGCTAGCCGTTAGCTTAGCATTTAGCTTAGCATGTAGCCTGTCGGTGATTCTTTTGAGTATTCTTACACGCCTGCACATGTTTGAAATGCATATGTTGGCGTTGTTAAAGACGGGTCCAGTCAGGGGTCGTTTCGGATATGCTTTTGTCCGATAGTTAGTTTTTTGGGGGCTTGTTTGTGCGTGGTTTGTAGCGTAAACATGCCGTACCGCGACGGGCCTTTTCCCAACACACCCACCCACTTAAAAGTAACCAACGCATTCTTCTAAGCGGCTTTCTGTCAACTACTACTGTTTATTTCACGTTTAAGCAACACGAGACAAGACTGATGCTTTATTTGAAGTGGTTGCATTGAATTGTGTGAAGTATCTGTGCATCGCATGTCTCCTTGTCAGATTACATAATCCACCTCCTCCACCTCTGCTTGCAGGCGCCCCGACTTCATGCAAGCTCCGGATCAGATGGGAATGAATAAATAAACCCGCTGGAGACATTTTCCGAGTGGAGATTTTTGTGCCCGACATCTGGGCCTCGGTTTACGAGCAGTGTGTGCGCTTCAGACCCACCAGCATGTCGTACACACAGAGGAGACCATAGCCCAAACCAGCAGGCTTCTCAAACATGACAAGGTATGCAGACATGTCTTCTTTCTCAAAACGAAATCGAGCATATATTGTGAGTGATTTTCATAACACTTGTCTGGATTAAGCCATTCTTTTACTTTTGTACATTAAATACTAAATTAACAATGTTTAGAAGATAACAAACCCTTTTCTTTGTATAACTGCTGTTTTGGTTAGTTGTGACTTAAAGGTCCTGTATTACACAAAATGTTCATGACTTTAAGACATGTTATAATTTTGTTACTTTGTCAAAAACATACCCAGAGTTGTGTTTCATTTCATTCTCACATGAGTAATCCTTTATTATCAGTCTGTCTACATCTCTAAAGCTCGAAATGCTCCATTCCAATTTATGATGTCATGAAGCAGTAGTTTTCAAGTTAACAGCTCCTTTTACCTAGCCTGATTCATCTGGTTTCACTTCATTTCTCTTTGTACAAACTGTCTGACCTCACCTTAAATTTCATTCGCTCAACTGTAGGCAGATACTTTTTATCATTTATCCAATCGTGGCTATTTGGTCGTGACGTATGTAATATGCCGTTGATCGGGGCTAACTGGTGTATTAAGCTTTTCCCAAATCCCGTAGGAAGGACAATAATGTCTTTCCCCTTGATGAAATTCACCAAACATTCTCTTTATTCCAGCTTTAAATCCTCTATTTTGGGAATCATTGACAATATGAATGTATATATTGAATATATGGCTCTTCGCTGATTGGCTGGTGCCTGAACTTGCACTTTCGGGGGTTTTGCAAACCGTCTAGTGTATTTTGATTCCTGACTTAGTAACTGGAGAGAAATGAAATTGAGCGGAGGCACTAGGTGGCACCAGCCTACCTTTTACCTTTAGTTCAGCAGAGATTTTCAGTTCTAGACATGAGACAGTAACATAGTTTATCATGTAGCGTGTCTAATTTTTGAATATTTGTTTGGTGTTGTATAATCTTTGTTATTATATTATACTGTAACGTGTAAGCAGCTGTGTCCAGATAATTTCCCTTGTGGATCAGTAAAGTTTGTCTGAGTCTAATATTAGATCAGTCAGGATTAGTAGGGATGTAACAATAACCGAAATATCATGTTGTGATATATTGTCAGAGTTCTCACAATAATATCGTGGTCCATCACAATATATCGAATTACAAGTGTCTTTGCTTAAATTAAGAGTTATGGTGCAGTAATAGTTAAAAAAAAAAAAAAAAACAGTGGGGACTACATAGACCATGATCCTTTGCTCCATTTTAGTGCAGATGACAAGAAGAAATAACAGTTATAACACTTTTAAGTTTTAGTTCTTTGGATTAAGTCTTGTCAAGGCATTTTAAGAGGAGAACGTTGAATATTATTAACAGTTTTAGCTGTTTAGTCTCCACAAAATATCACAATAAATATTGTACCGTGAGATGTATATCATGAAAATATCGTACTGAGAGATTTGGAAATTGTTACATCCCTAATTGTGAGCCTCTCCACGATATCGTGAGCTTTCCCATGATATTGCAATAAATATTGTACTGTCAGGTTCATACCATGACAATATCATATCATGAGACTTTGATATCGTTACACACCTAAGGATTAGTAATGGGCCGTGGACATCTTCTGCATTACAGTGTCAAAAAGTAATGTCAAAAGCTGCAAGGTAGACCAGAAACTTGCTGTGTAAGCTTAGTGAAGTGATAATAGTCCACATATTGTCTAGCAAGCTGAGACTACTTATTGACGTTTATTTTCCGTACAAAAACGTATTGTCTGGATCCAGTTGTCTGTTTATAAGGATGACTACACACTAGAGCAGGGGTGTCAAACTCATTTTGGTTCGGGGGCCGTATCCAACCTACTTTGATCCCAAAGGGGCCGGATCAGAAAACTCACGTCATGTAAACCCCAAAAATAACAATAAGTTCAAATATTTGTGCAGAGAAACGCAAATCAATTACAGAAATCTTTTTTAATTGATGAACTATTTCTTTTACATAATATTATAATATTATGAACAACCTGAAACTTTAAGAAAAATTCTATTTCAACACAATGTTTTAACATTATCTTGTATGCAAATAGGAATAAGTCAATTTTTCTTGGAAAATCCTGCACTCAGCGTCCACTTTTCTCATTTTTGACATTTTGTTGATGAGGGTGTCACGGTCAACAGTCAATGCGATCGTCTTTTAAGAGCATTTGGAAAGAGACAAATCTTCATTTGTGCTGCTCTGGTGGAAGGGGCCACGCACAGAGACACTGGAGACACTGCTATGCTAAGCGATGCAGAAAATTACCAATATTTTAATAGAAAATATAATTCAAATATTTAAGTAGAAAATCAGCTGAGGGCCACATTAAAGGTCTTGGAGGGCCGGATCTGGCCCCCGGGCCGTATGTTTGACATCTGTGCACTAGAGGGTCTTTGCCTGATTTTAAGCATGATTTGGGTTTGTGCACATGTTCGGGGAGGCGTGGCATGAATAGTGCTTCTTGTTAGTGATTATTTGTGGCGGCACTGCTCTGTCTCACTCCTCACTCCTGTCTGGTGTGATTCTGTTAGCACTATTTGCCAGGTTGCAGCTCCAAAACCTAATATTGTAAGGTTTGCCTGTGACCAGCTTCGCAACACCCAATCAGAGCGTCCAGACTGTGCCAGGCCTCCGTTGCCTGGTGACAGGTGTTAAACTGTAGAAATGACGCAGATGAAACAAACTTTTTCATTTAACATCACTGCTACAATTACGGTGACACGCTCCTCACCCAGGTCACGCCATAGAGTCACGCGCCGCTCCAGTGTTTCGTTTTCAGCCAAGAGTATTCATGCACTCGCCTCGTATGCTTGTGTGTTTGTTTTCTTTATTACACCCCTTCACACAGACGATGACACAGACTTCTGCTGTATTAATGCGGGAATCAGTAACAAACAGGATTAATCTGAGGTGAGAGATTAGGCTCTGAATGGTACACAAAATCTCTTCCTCTGTTGAAACCATAGACTGTGTGGACATAGTTTACCCTCTATCTACCAAATAGGAAGTGAGCACGGGGGCAGTTCTGGTATGGTATAGGATTTTGACCCCCGCGGTGAGGTGACCCCGGGGTCAACATACCATATAATATTTTGACCCCGGGGTTAGAATCCTATTATAGTATGTTGACCCCCCTATGAAAATCTATATTTTATTAATAAAGAACTTCATTTCTATAGAAAAACTTTGAATATTAATACTATATCTGCAAATTAAAACTTATTGACATATTTAAAAGTGCTTTTTGAGAACTCAGATGTATTTTTTTTTATGTCGATTATAACTTTTGAATGTTAAAAATGACTTAGTTGTTTAAACACATATTTTACTGAAAATTAGATTAGTAGTTATTAATGAGTTAGGTAATCAACGTGATCTATAATGATTTGGAATCTTGTTCAAATAGACAGGGCGGATCAACTGAGTAGTTAAATAGAGGAAACCTATGACTGTAGTAATCTGACCCCCCCAATATGTTATAGTTCTGATGATGTAAAGTAAGAAGTAATGTTAGATGAATATTGACAATGATCAATTATATATAAAGGAGGACAAAATCCTATGGCTTTAGTAATCTGACCCCCCCAGTATGTTTATTATAGCACAACATTACTAAATTCAAGGTCATTATTCTTACAAACTTTTGCCTAAATTGACATTATGATTAAGGATTATCTGAACATAGCAAGCAAAAAACCGTAACAATGTAAAATACAATATAAAAAGTGACATGTATATGCAATTTTAACATTACATTTACACAAAATACCAAGTCATTATCCATCAAAACATTCCTTAAAATACCTTAAAAGAAAGTGAATATGTAGCAATAATATATAATAAAAGTAAAATACATGAGAAATAATGATCATGTAGCGGTATGTTCACCCCAGGGTCAAAATACTATCTCTCACCGGCTCCATCAATTCTGGCTCCAACTGACTTTGAAAAATTGTCACCTCTGTCTGTAACTGCTACTGTGAGCCTCGCCATTTTGGTCTTAAAATGTTAATATATTACATATTAACTCTCTCTACATGATCCTGGTGTTTTTATTTTGCTATTTTGTCTGTTAATAAATTTCTGTTCGTCTTCAGTCAAATGAAGCTCACGAGGCCTGCAGTGACGGGAGTGAATTGGGAGCCAGTTCCATATTAGGAATAGAAATTTATTTACGTATAAAACAGCAAAATTAAAACATCAGGATTAGGGGTGTGCAAAAACATTGAATGAATATATCGCCAAGAGTATTTTTTTGGTGTATATTTTATTAAATTATTTTGTTACAGCCACAGTTTTGTTGCTTGTTCAGAGGAAGTAAACACGTTCATGTGACATATTTGACATTTTCACTGTTTTGATGATTAAAATAGATGTGCTTCAAATTCACTTTACATAAGATGTGGTTTAACAAAACTTTTAGTGTCACAGCCATGATTTAGCCTGTATTTTTTAGTGAACTGTATCCAATTGATTTGAAATATATCGTATTGAATTGAAAGCCCACGAGATATGTATTGTATCAGCAACTTCTTAATCAGGATCATATAGAGTGGGTTAATACAAACATTTTAAGACCAAAGTGAAGAGGCTCACAGCAGCAGTTAAAGAGACGGGGTGACTTTTTCAAATGTAAAGTCAATTGGAGTTGAAATGGAGTCTGGAACGCAGCGGCTCACGGATTAGTTTTGTCCATATATTTACAGTCTGTGGTTGACACATGCTTCATAAAAGTAGCTGATTAGTTTATCAAACATTTGTGTTTTTATTTTACAGTCTATTCACTTTTTGTAGGATACTTGACCCTCAACCAAGACATTTTCAGCCACATTTTAGTACATTTCTGCAAGTTTACAAAAATAAAATCAGATTATTTCATTGTTTCCATATTGGGCGAATCAAAACTTAAAACAAAAATGGCACCACATATCTGATTTAGGAAACATGGATATCTAGTGTTCATTTTCATTGTCCATACTCTGTTCAAGCTGAAGTCACAGGGAGTGTTTGTGGTGTCCTCAGAAAAAAAAAAAAAAAAAAAATCTCAGCTGAACTTTTGGCGCAAACCTTGAGGACATGGGTGTGAACTCCTTTGTTTAAATCCCACAATGCAGCAGTAGATTGCCACATGATCCGCCAGCATCACTGACACTTACAGCTTTGCCTCTTGTATTCATGTGACATTGGTTAGATCACAGTCTGATTATCATTTATTCTTGTAAACTTAAATTTAGTTACCATAAACGTTTTTTTTTGTTTTTTTTTACTTTTCAGTAGTTCTCTTCAAGCCATGTTAGAATTCTGTTACCTCCTCAAAAACAGACCTGGAGTTGCGTTTTGTTTGATTCACACATGTATTATTAGTCCGTCTACATCTCCAAAGCTTAAAATGCTGTATTCCACCGTGTGATCTCATAAACATCTGCATGTTTTCTCTTCTTTTGAGATATATAATGTTAAACCTTTTCTTATTTAAATAAATGTTTAATAATAGTTTTGCTTAAATATTAAATCCAGAACAAGCTAAATATAAAATAATAACAGTTTTAAATAAATAATGTCTCTATAGCCTATCTGTAGCTTTTAAACTCCTTTTTAAATGTTTTCAGTCAACATGCTCCAACACTTTTCCAAAGCATTCTGGGATTTGTAGTATTAGCAGTGCATGGGCCATACTGACACACCAGCCGGCCTGCCAGCTCTAATACGTATCTGATACGGGCCAAATATAAATATGTCTCTGGGCCTGAATCTGACATGTCTGGTGTAGGGAGTTTAAAAACACAGTGGAATACTTTGTGTATTACTACATGACATCACAAGGTTGAAAATGGCGTTTTCCATTTGAGAAAAGCGCTTCTTAAATATGCAGGATGTTTAAACATGTGTGAATGAATCAAAACACAACTCCCGGTATGTTTGTGATGAGGAAACAACATTATAACATAGATGAGAAAATGGTATGAGTACCGTGTTTTCTGGGCTATTAGACGCGCTCTTAAGCCTCTAACCTCATCAAAAAATGACTGTGCGCCACAATTCAGAGCACCCCATACACGAATCCACTCGGGTGTCCCAGCACGACTTCAGTAAACTACAAAGCCACACCACCCGCAGCGCACGCAAACACACACAGAGCAGACAGCGACCAAGCAGCGAAACACACCCGCAGCCACACTCATCACTCCATGGGGACGAGGAACGGAACGGAGGAACGAACCAAAAAAGTGAGTGCAATGTGCCACAATGTGACACAACTGAGTCACTGCGAACACGCCGACAATCCAGCGGTCCCAGACAGCGCCCTCCCTACACGCCACAACTGAACAAAGCCCAGAGTCACCGTGAACGCGCCAAACAAAGTCCCACTGACCCATCCAACTGTTGTGTTTAGTTTAAAGCCGGTGCGGGTTATTTGTGAAAAAAGTTCGTAAATAGACCTTTTAAGGACAAGTGCGTCTTATAATCCAGAGCGCCTAATAGCCCGGAAAATACAGTAATATAAGCTCTTTAAATAGGTTACTGATGGACTTAATATTGTTGTATTGTGTGTATAAAAACGATGCAGACTGATTAGTTTGTATTTACAGGTGCTCCAAGGCCTTGTTAGTGAAATGATGGGAGGCAGTGAGACAGTCAGTGGGGACCAGGATGGGCTCCACAACACTGCCGTACACGTGCCCATCGGCTGGCAGCGCCGGGTGGAGGGCGCCCGGGTCCTCTACATCAGGTGAGGAGCTCATCTGATTCTGTGTCTTTGTCAGGCCTGTAATGATAACAAAATTTTAACGCCAATATATTCCTGATGTAAATATAGACGATAAATGACAATACTGAAAGCAAAATTATCCCACAAAAACTATTCTAAATGTACTATATTGTTAAAAAAAAGTTTCAGAAAATGTATCAGAAGGCAACTCTTTAGTAGTTTGTTTCTAGAGTGAGTCATAGAAGTTCATAATTCAACCCTCTACAACCCAAATGTTTTTGTGGTACAGAAAAAAATCACCAAAAAATTCCCTCTAGTGCAAAGAAAAAGTACCTATGACATGTGGTCTGACACTAACGCCCCCCTCTCCCTCCAGTCCCAGTGGTACTTCCCTGTTCTCTCTGGACGAGGTGAAAACCTACCTGCTGACTGATGGCACCTGCAAATGTGGCTTGGAGTGCCCACTTGTTCTCCACAAGGTAAACGTCACTGTCGCCCAAGACCTCTGCAGTAACATATGGATCTGTGGGAAATAACAGTATAACTAATATTTATAAACTCTCTTATTTCTTTTCAGGTATTTAACTTTGCTTTGGGGGTGAAGGTGGAGCAGTGCAGCCAGCCTGTGGGTAAAGTGGAGCAGGACATGACCAAACTGTGTAACCACCGGAGGAAAGTGGTGGCCATGGCTGCTCTGTGCCGGAGCATGCAGGCCTCCCAGCTGCCCTTCTCCTCCCTGCACCACCCCGGTGAGTCTCCCACTGCTGCCTTAAGTCCAGTTACTTCTATCCCTGTGTTCCACACCAAGTCTAGTTTAAACCGGATTATGGCAGTGAAATTCACTGACCCACAGACTGGCAGTTTGATCCCAACTCTCTCACGTGCATACTGTTGTTGTGTCACTGGGCACGACACTTAGCCCATCTGCAGGGTTTCCACTGTAATGGAAATTAAAAATGTCATTTTCCAGGCCTGGAAAACTACAACTACAGCGTTCTGTTAACTTATCTTTAGGCTATTATGATTATTTCTGAATGTCTGCGCCTTTTGTTTAAAAGAGACGACAATAGACGCACTGACAGTATTTTGAATGTTAAAAAACTATAATACTAACCCATAAGGTGAGTGGAAAAGGTTAACATTTCATACTTGGCCCTAAAAGTCTGATCAATTCTACACATGTAGGGTGAAAATTCACTTTAGGTCATGGAAAAGTTATGGAAAAGTTATGGAAAAGTTATGGAAAAGTTTTGGAAAAGTTTTGAAATTGTCAGAGAAAAAGAGTGGGAACCCTGCACCTCCCTGCCTACAATGTGGCTCAACTGACTGTGTGAGTACTTAGGTGTTTTGAGTGCCATGAAGGTGAAAAATAGCTGTATACAAATGTGTTGTCATTATTTACTGAAAAGCCCTGCATGAACTTTGTCTGTCTCTTTCAGAGGTCACCAGTGGTGTGGACAGCTGCCATCCAAAGAGGCCTCACGGGGAGCGAGGAGAAGACCACCCCAAACTCCCGTTGGTCCCAGGACGAGCTCACAACACCTGTGTCAGCCCCCCATCACCGCGGCGCTTCATCTACCCCCAGAACGGCTCGTCTCCTGTCCTGCACAGCTCCAACCACCACCCTTTAGACTCCATCAGAAGACTCCACCACCCCCCTCCCCTGCCCCCCTGCTCCGCCGCTAACCAGTCCTTCTCTGGCTACAGGTCCCCGCACACTCCCACCCCACATGGCCCATGTCCAGGGCAAAGAACACCCAAGACCCCAGACACGCCCGGCTCCCCTCGCTTTGGCCCTCTCTCCTCTCCACCTCCATCCTCTCCCATGACTTTAGCTGGAACTCGGGCACAGACCCATCACCCACACGGCTCTCCTCTGTCCAGCCCCCCCTCTCATCTCTCTGTGTCTCCTCAACAGCGCTCCAGGCACCCCTCCGCCTCCCCCTCCCCAGCCTCAGAGCACGGAGAGGCAGGAGGGAGGAGGAAGTCCACGTCCTCCTCTCCTCACTCCCCTCTGCCCTGTTCTTCTCCCAATACAAACACACACTTCCCCAAGTACAAACTAGAAGACCTTTTGGAGCAATTCAAACACTCAGGCAGTGCTAATAACCACCACCTCCCCTTCCCCATCAGCCCCTCTGTCCTGAGCAGCCAAAGCCACCAGCCTCTGCCCCAGAAGCCCCCACACCCTCGTGTCCCCTGCCCCTCTGGGTTCGGCCTGAGCTCTGGTCCCTCAAACTCACACATGCCCTTTGCAAACCACCACAGTCACAGCAGACCCCACCAGTCTCCTTTCCCTGCCAGCAGCCTGCTCTCGGCGGCTGCCAAAGCCCAGATAGTCAATCAGATAACCCAGGGACAAGCACCCAATGCGGGCAGCCCCTCTGTGAGCGTGGACTCTTCTCTGGAGGGTGTGAAAGAGTCTCAGCAGCAGCACAAGTCGAAGGTAACAAACAGCACTTTACATAACAGCCACGCTCCCCTCCCCTCCACGGCCTGCCCCGGGCCTCCTCACCCCTCTCTCCTCCACCCCTCCCACCCTCTTGCACAGTCCCACAGTGAGCGTGGAGCCTCCCACAGGAAGCGCCAGAGGAGGTCCCCCACGGTGCTGAGCGCAGTGCGGGGAGCTCAGCCACTGGTGAACGGGCCCAGGAGCGGTGCGTCAGAGTCCTGTCCCACTGCCATCAACCTGTCCACTCCTCGTCTCTCCTCTACCTCAGCGCTCCTCAGCCACCACCTCCCTCTGGAGAAGCAGCTCCGGCTCCCCGCTCCTCGCCTGGCAGCCCTCTCCAGGACTAAAGGGCAAACAGAGGCGCTGGACTTCACTACAGGCTCTCCTCTGGCCCTAGAGCCTCCGACACAACCCCTGTCCGCTCTGCTCCACCTGCTCAGTGTCCAGAATGCACAGAATGCCTCTGCATCTGCTGACGCTAATGGAGACACTAAACCAATGAACAAAGCCCCTATCTTTCCCAGCACTTACACAAAACAGACCAGCGACACTAACCCTGCCCTCTTTCACCCTCAGCCTGTGCTCTCAGAGTCCAGCCCCCCACAGAGACTGTCTCCTACTGCACAGTCTTCTCCTATGACATCATCAGCTCCCTCCTTCTCCCAGACTCATTTGCAGGAGTCCTCACCTCACAGTTCTGTAGCGAACTCTGCTCCAGCAGAGATGAGCCAGTGTCAGGGCAGTGGGACCACGCCTGGCTCCCCCAAACCGCTGGACCTGAGCACCCACGTGTTGGCCTTGCTCGCCCAGGCCCAGGCCGACCCCACCCTCACTCCACATGTGATGTCTTCCCAAGAAAACCACGCCTCAGGTAAGGGGCACCTCTCTGTTTTTGTTTGACTCTATCTTGTTGAGTTTTGATGCTATAAATCCTTTGTTTTCCAGGTTCAGAGGAACCTGTGTGCTTGGACCCAAAGGAGTCTCCAGTGCCCAAGCCCACAGCCAGCCCCGCACCCCCTGCGCCTGCCCTGGCCCTGGCCGCCACTGTGGGTGACTCTGCCCCGTCTCCTTTGGCTGAGGCTTTTCCCTTCATGAACCAGGAGCAGCTCCTGCAGTTGCTCTCCAGTGGGAGCCTGCCCTCTCTGCTGGACCCCACTGTGTTGGCCTCTCTACCCCTGGGAGGCCTGTGGCTCGGTGGGCAGCAGGGAACCCCCCCACACCCTCCACAGGCCCTGGCAGGTCTGTCTGAGCAGCCGGAGCCTTTACTGATCCAGTCTCAGGACCAACACAAGCAGATGAACCCTCTGTTCCCTCTGCTGCCCCTGCTGAGCGCCGCTCAGGGGGAGTTGCCCTTCAACCTTCTGGGGCTGGTCAACCCCATCCCACCGGCCGCCAGCCCCACCTCTATCCCGGGGCAGGACGGGGACTTGAGCCTGTCTGAAAAGCCTGGACTGCAGGCTCTGCTCATGGCCTCTCTGCTGCTGGGGCAGCCTCTGTCTGGTGTGGGGCAGGTGAGCCTGGAGGTGCCCCTTCAGCAGCCCGCTTTGGACAGTCTGTCTCTGGACAAAGGCCCTGGTCTCATGGACGCCTCGGCCCTGTCTGGGACCGGCCTCCTGGAGCTGCCCCAGGGCCTGCTCCCTCTCTCAGCTGGGTCAGAGGGCCAGTTGCTCCTCCCTCCCCCCACCACCTTCCTGCCTCTTAGCCCCGCCCTCCTCACTGCTGCCCTGAGCTCCGCCGAGCTCCACCCGCCTCCCAACCCTCAGTTAGGTCCTGCACAACAAACCCAACAAACCCCGCCTCAGGTAGGACCCTGCACGCCCTCTAGGTCCTCTCACCAAAAGCCGTCTGTGTGTTGTCTGTTATAAACTTACACAAATCATATATTTTAAGATCTTTCATACATTATTTAATTCTCTACTCTCCGCTGGTTTTTGGCTCTCCACCCCTGGTAGAACTGACTCGCTTCTGCTGTAGGAGTGACATGACTGACACTTATCAGGCCAGACATAAGTTTATTCACAAAGTCACGTTCAGCTCAGGTTTATATCATAGGAGTGAACAATCTGAGATAATATCTGTTTATGGTTTTATACTGTACAGTTGACAAACATCGTGCATCCTTGAGGGTCATAAGATCCATCAGGGCACAGGGGCGTCTCTGGAGAGAACATTATATTATCCTTATTAGGTCTTTTCTAATTTGCTTACTTTAAACATTGTGATTGCTGTTCTGACCCTCACTGACCACTAATGTGAAAAATGTCTGAGAAGAATAATCTCACAAGCTGTGGTCATGTGATCACATGACTGTTCCTAGAGCCCCTAGTAACAATATGTGTGTTTGCATTTTCTACAGTACTGTCTCTAACAGTCACCTCATTCATTTTAGGTCTTTATTTTCAGTATTTTTTGTATGTATTTCAATCTTCCATATACTTCAGGCTGAAGGTGTGGACACGCTCATCCCTCTTCCTCTTCAGAGCAAAGACAGCCCCCTCCTCCAGCAACTCCTGCCCACTTTACTCAACACGGCCGTGTTAGGTAAGTCCACACTACAGTCTCCCACTGTGTCTCTGTCTGTACCAGACTGTGAGCTGTGTGTACCTGTGTGTTTACAGGAGACCTCTCCAACATGGCAGGGCTCCAGAACATGATGGGGCTGGGGGCAGGCTCTATCCTCTTACCTCCAGTACAGGCCTCTGCTCTGGGCATGCCTCTGCTGCAGGGCCCTGATGGAACCATCAACCTCCTGAACAACTTACAGGTGGGAGCTCAGTCACATTTGTCTGTTTTCTGCTGTAGATGCAGTTCTCATGACTCATGTCTGTCCTTCAGCTGAGTATTGCCACATCTTCAGAGGAGGAGAAGCCCGTCTCTATGGAAACAGAAAGCCCCGTCCCACAAGGAGACATTCCAGCCAATGAGATGGCCCCTGACGCCCAGCCTCCCGAGGTCCCCTCTCCTCCCCCTGAGCCCCCTGTAGTCCCCCCCAAAGCAGCAGGGCCCAAGCCTGTGATCGACCCGTACACCTCCTTCATGGACACTATTTACACCTCTTTCCTGCAGGTCAGTGCGAGAGAGCAGGAGGAAGGGGCCCGTTTGGGGCCATCTGACCCCACCTCACCCTTCTGTGCCTTACCTCCGGTGTCCTTTCCTCTGGAGACACTGTCCTCCCCAGCACCCCCTCTGTCTCAGGCCAGCGCCCCCGTGTCTCTCAGCCCGCGCAGGGCCTGTTCTCTGAGGAACCCGGACTTGTCCCGCCTCAGCCTGGAGCCGGCCGCACACTCCCCCGCTCAGGGCACCCCCAGACCCACAGAGGACGGGCCTGTGTCTCTGCTGCACAGGAAAAACATGCCCCCTATCTACCTGGAGGAGGCCCAGACGGACTGCACCAGGCCCGCGGCCATGTGCCCATACACGGACACAGGGGAGAGGAAGAGACTGCTGCCCCCACCAGGGTACCTCAGTCCTGGAGACTCCTGCAGAGAGGACACCACAGGGACCATGCTGCTGGACCAACACACAAGTGTAAGACTGCCTCTGTCTGTGTTCACTCCAAGTACATTTGTAGTTTGGATTAGTGCACTTTACACTGGTTTATTCCATAGAGACAATTGGTCATTTGTGTGGTCAAATTCTTAATATCACGAGCAAACACCATGAGGAGAGCTGTCTCCATCTCTGTGCAGACAGACAAAACCACAGGCAGCACCACACAGCATCTCCATGGTGCCTTTTTCAAATTCAACTTAATTTACATCTTTTATCTTAGGGTGGGAGGTTGGTGGTTTTTGCTCCTCTCGGCGAACAATTTGTTATGTCTTTGGGCGAGACATATGTGTTAAGTGTTAAGTAAAGACACTCTGTCTCCACAGAATAAACAATAATAATAGTCTTTATAATGACTCGTAAACCTCAGGTGACATGCTCTCAGACTCAGAGCCTCATGTCCTGTTCTCGTGTCCTGTTCCTGCAGGAGGCAGTTGGAGGTTTGGCTGAAGCCAGACGAGGACGCAAACGCAAACAACTGTAAGCAGCTGCATGTTTAACACACACATGCACGCACACACATTTTACACATCGACACACCTTTAGACACAGGTTTGTCCACATGACTTGACTAACAGCCCATTCTCTGTGTCTCAGCCTTCATAACGTGCTGGAGGACTTCAGAGAGCTGGACACGGCCGCTCTGGAGGAAGCAAAGGACACGGTGAGAACGCCGACTCTGACTCATCCCACAAAGATCACAGAGGAGTGGTCTCCAAGCAACCGCTCATTACAACACTCTCTGTGTGGAGCTCAATTCATGACATCAATAGGCTGTATTACTCCTCAAACACAGATCGGGTCAAGTTCTTTTTCTTTGTCATGATTTTGTAATGTTTCTGACATCAGTATTTGTTTGAGTTTTTGTGGTATCAACTCATAATGATAATTTAAACAGAACCAGTCAAGTTTAGACTCACCTTTTCATTGATTGTTTTCTTTTTTTTTTTCTCATCACTATTTACATTATAGTTTATGAATGTGGAATGCAGTAAATGACACTCTGAAGTAACTCCAACGGTGTTTTAAATTATAGAGTATTCAAAATATAAATATAAGTAGCCTTTATATTTGCTTTGAGGGCATGGCTACTGTGAGGAAGTCTAAAATGTAAAACATTTAGAGTGATAGAACTTTGTTTTCTTTGCTACATAATTCCATACTTCTTTGTTTATATGCTTGATGCCTGCAGTTTGTAACTATAGTGAGTAAAGTAGTAAATATAAAAACAAAACCTATAATGAAAAAGTGTGTCCAAACCTTAGACTGGTAGTGTTTATAAAAAAAAAAAAAAAGAGTAGACCATAAAACAACACATCTGGTAATATTGTTTTTCCATTTGTGTGTGATTCTATAATGTTTCTGGCATCATTATTTACAGTAGGGCTATTAATCTGCTAGTGGAGTCGTCCAAAATGTGTATTAGTTGACTATTTTGTGAAAATTATAAGGATTTATATGGGACAACCGCAGAAGGAAGTGAGGGAGTTAAAGTTCAAAATTCAAAGTTAGATTTATTATCAATTTCTTCACATGTACTGGACATACAAAAAAACTGAAATTATGTTTCTCTTTGCCCATTTATAAACAAGGACTGGGAGAGCGAGGTTACGTCTGCATGCACTGCTATTCAATTTATAGCACCGTTCAAATTTTGCTGCAGTAAACTGTTGCAGCTGTGTAGCCTTTGAGTTAGTTGGGGATTTGGGATTTTTGGAATTGTAAAATGGCAGATTAAACACATAATTCTGTTATGTTATTCTGTTATTAATAGTTGAATAGTTGCATGAACTCCCTGCAGATGTAGTCTGCAGGGAATCTCTTGTGAGTTCAGTTTGGGTCAAACAATCATATAATACAGCATTTTCAATCAAATTAAAGGTAACACAGTGATCTACAGTATGTTATAAAGTAGCACAGGGGTCACCGAACTTTTTTCTCTTGGGGCCACATTATCACTCGTGACTGTGATGGGGGCCGAGGTCGATTAGGTTGATTGACCCTGACGACCCAGATTATATTGAAAACTGCCACACTTTCTTTACATATCAGACAAACTGTACGCTCCTCACACTGAACAAAAAAAATAATCGGTCATCCACTGTGCTTTGAAAACTGGTCACTCTCTGTCCATTTTTCGTATTTTAACACTCGCCATTTTGCTGTCCTTAACTGCACTACAGAACTCTGCACATGTGACTGTCACTGTTGGATCTCAAGTTTTTGAGGTGATGAAAATTCGGTGGCAAATTAAGCGGCAAATGGTAATACGTCATATAATTATTTAAATATAAATATAAATACTTAATAAAAATATCATTTTTTAAATCGAAAAAATCAACAAAATACAAGATGCAGGCGTGTTATTATTTGCAAAAAGTAATAAAAAAAAATAGGCCATGACAACTTTTGAGGACTGCCTCATAGGGCCAGTTCATGTGGGAGCAGAGAGGCTGGAGGGCCGGTCAAAGGTCCTATATTACACAGAATTGACTCTTGTGAGCTTTAAACCATGTGATAATGTTGTTACCTCATCAGAAACAGACCTGGAGTTGTTTTGTTTCATTCACATGTTTGAGTATCACTTTTATCAATCTGTCTACATCTGCAAAACTTAAAATGCTCAGTTCCATCTTGTGATGTCATGTGGTGGTAGTTTTCAAGTTAACAGCTACATTTTACCTTTTAGTTCAATAGAGATTGGCAGTTCCAGGGCTGAAATCATTGAATTGATTGTAGTGAAGGTGTGTGGAGTTTAAAAACATAATGGAGCACTTCATGTGTTACCACATCACAATGAGGAACGTGTGTTTTATGTCTGAGAGAAGAACTTGGCCTAAATGTGCAGGGTTTGTTTGTTAAACGTGCAAATGAAACAAAACTCCAGGTCTATTTGTGATGAGGAAACATAACTTAGATCAGAAGTTGTGAAAAAATGTAATGTAATACTCCCTCTTTAATATCTCAAGTATAATCTCTTACCTTGTCTTTTTCTCCTGTGTGATTTTTGCAGACGGCCCTTCTGAAGTCCGATAGGTCAGTCCGAGGCCGGAGGAGACGAGGCACCCGGTCCCAGAGGCAGTGATTGGTCACTCCACCTCCTTATCCCCCCGCTCACGTCTCCTTTTCCCCCCCGCCCGCCTACTCCTCCTTTTCCCCCCCCTTCCCCCTCCTCCACAATCACCACTTTTTGAACTGCACTAGTAACTGTGTCATGCCAACCGCTGTCACTGCAACCACTCTGAGCAAAAAGAGACGAGTTAGGTAGGTCTTAGTATGAAACGGTGTGAAAAACGAAGGATTCTCTGAGGTGTAGAGGAGCAATGGATAGTGGTGTAGGTCAGTTGGGTTTTGGTGGTTAGTTTTACGCAAGAGGATCACTGCCAACAGAGAAGAAGTCATTATACTCTTTAATACATAATAATGATAAGTTACAGATCTCAAGATTTTTATCATGTTTTCTTCAAGTCTGCATTAATATTGTCCTGATACTAAGGAATAGGCTCAATACTGATTCCGATACCACAATGATGATAAAAAAACACTCCTTAGTAGGGCTGGGTATCATTCAGAAGTTGCCGATACGATACATACCTCGATACAGTGATCTTACGATTCGATACGATGCAATACAATATATTTCAGATCGATTCAATACGGTTCAATAAAAAATATAAATAAAGTTAAATCGTGGCTGTGATACTAAAAGTCTTTGTTAAACCACTTCTTGCGCAAAGTTCATATGAAACACAAACATGTTAATCCTCAAAACAGTGAAAATGTCAAATGTGTTTCATAAACGAGTTCGAACAAGCAACAAAACGGTAGCACTGTAACAAAATAATTTAGTAAAATATACCAAAAAATACTCTTTGCGATGCATCGATAAAGCAGCCCACGATATCGATACTGTATCATTACATAAAACGATGTGATGTAACGATATTTCAGTATTTTTGCACACTCCTTATTTAGACATTAAAAGTCGTAATCCATTCAGTTTTCCAGGTAGGTTCCATAGTGGCCCATGGGTGTATAATAATCTGTGTGCTCTTATACTTGTTCTGATACAGCTCAAGATCTTTATCAGTGAGTATCTAATTCCGATCCTAGGTTAAGTATCGAGTAATATCTGATTTTCGATACTTTTCACAATCCTATACTGCAGTGACCAACAGGAATTATTTTAAGTAATCACCTGTTAAAATAACTACTGATTAGCGCTGCATTATTAAATGAAAAAAAAAAAAAAAGTTTCTACATTTTTATCTGGTTAAAAATGTATGTACAATAAAAGTAATCATTAGACTAGTCAACTAATTGAAAAAAGTATCGCAGACTATTAAAGATGACTCCTAAAATTGTGTTTAGTTACGGCCCTGTTTTATTCAAGTTAAGGTGTTTTGGGTCAGTGTGATATCAAAAACAGATTTTCTTTTTTTCCTAGTAGAAAAAAAGATGAAGTGCGACTTGTTGGAGCTTTCTACCATGTTATAACTTTTCCTCATCAAAAACATGCCTGAAGCGCGTTTAGATGTCATCCGTGCATGTTTGAGTAATCTAGAGATCTCTCCTGGGCCTTACTCAAACCCTCCTTACGGTTCGCAGTATGATTTTGTACAAAATTCCACCCAAATAAACAGATTTTCACCTTTTTCCTGGTAGAAAAAAAAGATGAAGTGCAACTTTTTGGAGCTTTCTACAATGTTATAACGTTTCTTCATCAAACACGCGCTTGAAGAGTGTTTAGATATCATCCATGCATGTTTGAGTAATCTAGAGATCTCTCCTGAGTAATACTCAAAACGTCCTTACGTTTTGCAATACGATTTTGTACAAAGCTTCATCCACAAGCCTACGTCACGCATGCTCCTGTGCTCAATACACAAACAAGCATGCTGATTATGTTTGACAGCGCTCTGAAGGGGAACCGACTTAAGTTACTAATATTTTGATGAATATGGCATTTTCAAAACAACAAAAGATAACATGGTGATTTAAATATGCGATGCGTCAGCTCTTAATTCCCTGTATAAGTGTCACACTCCTGTAAATATGGTAGTCTATGAGTATAAGTCGCACCAGCCAAAAAAAATGCATAATTTAGAAAAAAAACCTATGTAAGTTGCGAAAAACACCCGCAGACACACTCATCACTCCACGCTGACGAGGAACTGAACGGAGGAACGAACCGAAAAAGCGAGTGCAATGTGCCACTTCTAGACACAACTGAACAACTGAGTCACTGCGAACACGCCGACAATCCAACGGTCCCAGACAGCACCCTCCCTACACGCCACAACTGAACAAAGCCCAGAGTCACCGTGAACGCACCAAACAAAGTTCCACTCACCCATCCAACTGTTGTGTTTTATTTAAAGTGAAAAAAGTTTGAAAATAGACCATTCTATAACAGTGCACCTTATAATCCAGAGCATCTAATAGTGTGGAAAATGGGGTAACTTTTTTGTTTTCTTTATTGCAGTTCGAGTCTCCTCCGCTTTTCGCCGGTCCCTCAAGTTTCTCGCTCACGCCAAACCATGAAAAAAAGTGCCACTTATAGTCCAAAAAAAACTTCTGCCCATTTTGGTCTTAAATGTTCGTACTAACCCGCTCTACGTGATCCTGGTGTTTTTATTTCACTATTTTGAACATAAATACATTTCTATTCCACTTTTTGTATACAGTCCCCACCTTTTAGCAATATCTTCTAAAATATTGGATTTAGATGAAAAGAACTTGCTCTAATTTCAGAGCAAACCATTCAAACCTGGCACATTTGAGTGATACCAACTCTCCTTTATTATTTAACACAAAGGATAACACTTCTTTGCACTTCCTTCTCCGTTGGCAGCCATTTTCTCGCGTGGCGTTGTGTCAAACCAGTACTGTTTTAGTAGTGTTACTGTGAGTTAGGACGGCGCCCTGTACTTGAACAAACCTGTGTGCGAGATGTGTGTGTGTGTTTGTGTGCGTGTGTGTAAATGTCAGAACACGACCATCGGACCCATTCACCCAGAGCTGAGATTTTGTACTGTTCAAATAAGGTTTACAGCATGAAAACAGTTACTCCATTTTGTTTTTTCACTAATTTGAGAAAATATATGAAGATGTAATCACGTTAACAATTTTCAGGACATCTTAATTAATTCTTAAGTTTTCTTGAATAATTTGGCATGTGGTTGGTAAAGCTAAAAATCCAGCTCATAGTTTTTGTCGTTTTTTTGTTGGTGTCATGCGTAGTTAAAGCTACACTATGTAACATTTCTGCTCAGTATCCACCGTTTGCTCTTCTTCATAAAATGTTATTGCTTCATTTTTGTGGGAGATGAATCACAATTTGAATGGATGCAATTAGCAAATCTCCAAGGCAGCAGTTTTTAGTGCCATAATTTCCTCCCCAAACAGAAAATTCTCATTATTCTGCATAAAAAACTGCCAACCCCGTAGTTTAGATCTGTACAAAAATGAGCTGAAATGTGATTCTTGTTTTAGTTTCCAGTTCATATTTCAGTCTCTGTCAATTCTTCCGGACGTGGTTTTTCTTCATGTTATTAAAACCTAAATCACAATGCATTAAAAATAAAACCTCCAGAGACAGAAAAGTTGCGTAGTGTACCTTTTAAACAGACACGATTGATGATACATAAAAATAAATAAATAAATAACGGCAATCGTTTTTTTATGACACATCTCTGGTGCTACTATCTGGTCATTTTAAAGTGCATACGTTAGGTTTTTCTTTTTGTTTTTCTAATCATGTCATCTTAGTTTGCTGGAATCGAGGCTGTGGTCAATATTTGTCATAGTTTTACATCAGTTAAATGGAAATTTGTGGGAAAATACTTTCAATGAAGTACAAAATTACAGGAAGTAGTGCTGAGTTCTAATCATGGACTGTAAATGGACTTAAACCTCTAGGCGCTGCATTCCAAATAAAATTTCTAGGACTGTGACAAAAATCAAAATCAATAAATAGATTGCAGTCTCCATGATAAGATCTGTGCTTTTTAATCGACAGTCAGTCGTGTGGCAGTGAGGGCGCGTGGAGCTGACGAGGATTTATGCTCTTGTTTAGGAAAAAGTCCCAGAGTCACAGTGTTTCCCTTTGTCTTGTGTTCACAAGTTTTGACTCAAATCTGGACAATGTGACCAAAACTCCAGTGTCTCTCCCTCTGATTCTGTGTGTCTGTGTGTATGAGTCTTGTGTGTGTCTGTGTATGAGTCTTGTGTGTGCGTCTTGTGTGTGTGTGTCTGTGTATGAGTCTTGTGTGTGTGTGTCTGTGTATGAGTCTTGTGTGTGCGTGTCTGTGTATGAGTCTTGTGTGTGCGTGTCTGTGTATGAGTCTTGTGTGTGTGTCGTGTGTGCGTGTCTGTGTGTGTGTCTGTGTGAGTATTGCGCGTGCCTGTGTGCGTGTGCGTGCGTCTGTGCCTCTGTGGGTTTGTGTGTGCGTCTGTGAGTGTGTGTCTTTGTGTCTGCGTGTGCCTCTGTGTGTGTGCGTTTGTGTGTGTGTGTGCGTCTGCGTGTGGAGTTGTCTGACCTGCTCCCCCTTTGTCTCTGATCCAGCCGCAGCTCGTCACCTTTTCTCCTCTTTCTTCCCTCTGCTGTTTCCCATTTATTTTTCTAATCCAAGTTGCAGATTAATTAGTAAACTATTATTTTCTCACTTTAGACACAACGAAATCCAGGCAAATCCAAAGAAGTAAAAGACACACGAGGAAAAGTAGAGTTAAAAGACCTTTATTGAAATGTACAAAACTGTGACTGTTCTTCATCAGGACTGTTTAAGGCGTCATTTACCGCACAGACATCTCACATTTTTCTGTCGCCAATGGTAACGTTCTTATGCATTTAGACTTTAATATATTGTACATATTAATTCCAAAGTTTCCATGTATATGTCACTGTAATTATCAGTCCTAGCAACACGAAATAAAAACTATAGTGATCCTGACACACTGCTCTTTATGCCTGAAGTCCACACATCTATGTTTTTAATAAGATGGAAGAAGATCGAATCGAAAATCAAGATCGATCAATATGGGGTGAAAAAAAAAATGTGATTTTTTTTTTTTTTTTTTTTTTTTTTTTCCCTCTTATCGCCCAGTCTTACCTCTCTCTGTAACTCCTGCTGTGAGCCTTGTGGTTTTGGTCTTAAAGTGTTCATATTAACCCGCTCTACATGATCCTGGGGTTTTTATTTTTCTCTTTTGTCCGTAAATAAATTCCTAATACGGAAATTCGCCCCATAACTCATTCATCTATAGTCCAAACAGGAAATAAAATTGCAAAAACAAAATCCCCAAAAAATACAGTGAAATTAGGTCAACATTTACGATCTTGCTCCAGTATGTTTTCGTGATTCTTCTAACCTGTCATATGCACTTTAAAAATACTTGAGCGATTACATTTCAGTGAAATTTCAAAAACTCTGTACCTCAACCAACCACATCCCAAACATTCAGACCAGTACTTGATAATGTGCAGGTGTGTGTATTTCTGTGGGCAGTCGTCTCTGATGCTGTGAACATTTGTGTGTCCTTCCGCCGTGTTGTTCTGCGCTCCCACCTCAAACTAGACCCATGTGCTACTGTCCAAAGCACTGCTCACTCTGACTGCGGAGATCTCAACGGTTTAAAACATGTTTATGGGATGTTTTGGAAAAGAAGAGTCATTTTTAAAAAGGAAATTGCTACCAAATGTAAAGAAATCATCGTCAACCAGAGATTTAAAATAGGAAATGTGTCTTCTGTACCTTGACACGTATGAAGTCTGTGTCTGAGGAATAAAGTGGTGAATATAAAGCCTCAAAACTTTATGATTATTAGTATATCTTGTGTAAAGTTTGACTAAACCTCCTGTAGTCAGACTGAGCAGTGGCTGAAGCCTTGTGTCTCGTCTGGATCACGTCTGTAGTGTTGTGTGAATGAACCCGTGGCCGTAGAAGCACAGCCCATAGTTAGTCCTCCCTCTGACCCCTGACCCCTGACCCCCGCCCTCAGTCCTGTATTTAAATCAATAGAGAGAAAAAGTGAAAAAGAAGGCAATTATGCAATTTCTACACTTTGAGATGTGTACATATGTACAGTTAATGTGTTTTATTTTGATTTTATATTGTTAGAGACAAACACAAAACGATGAATTGTGAATTTTCTGGGAAAAGTATTTTTCTCATTGACCCATTTCTTTCAATGTTTATGTTTCAAAAGACCATTAAATTGTGGACTGTAGCTTTCTTTTATATGGGAGTTTTCTTTTTATTTAATATTAAAATATTTACAGAAAACATGTCTGAAATAAATCTACAGGTATGATTCATATGCAGAAAGTAAAACACTAGTGCTCAAAAGTTTTAGAACACTCAAATTTTTCTAGTTATTTATTGCAGCTAAAGTCGTGCAAGTCCAATGAAGAGCTTGAAATGGTACAAAGGTAAGAACTGAACAGACAGAGGTTAAAAAAAAAAAGATAAAAACAGAACACAAGTCCAAGCTCTGCCAAAACTACCTCAGGAAAAAAGAACAAGATGGTAAAGTTTGAAAACCTGGAGTGTCCATCAGCACAGTGTCCAGACTTAAACCCCATCGAGCTGGTTTGGGATGAACTGAACAGAAGAGTGAAGCAACCTACAAGTGCCACACATTTATGGAAACTTCTGCAACAGACTTGGGAAGAACTTTTATTGTAAAAAGAATGAGCCATGAGTGTGTTCAGCTGTTAAATCTGCCAAAGGTGGACACTTTCATCAATCAAAAGTTTAGAATACGTTTTGGTCAACAGTAAAAAGCTGGAAAAAGTGTGCTTTTCTCAAACGTTAGGATGGTAGTGTATATATATATATTTATATATATATATATGAACTAAAAAATGACACCATATTGGAAATCCTGGAATAGTCATGGAAATTGAAAATGTTATTTTCCAGGCCTTTCTGTTAAGTTCTCATTAGGCTATGATGATTATTTCTGAATGCCTTTTGTTTAAAAGAGACGACAATAAATGCACTGACGGGATTTTGAATGTTAAAAAAACTATAATCGTAAACCATAAGGTGAGTGGAAAGGCTTAACATTTCATATTTAGCCCTAAAAGTCTGATCAATTCTACACATGTAGGTGTCGTAAAGTCATGGAAAATTCACTTTAGATCATGAAAAAGTCATGGAAAAGTTTTGAAATTTTGTCAGTGATAAAGAGTGGGAATTCTGATTGCCTCAAATAATAGTTCAGTTTATGAATAACACAAAGGTTTGTCACTTTGGACACATATTAAAGTGTTATTTTAACAGTTTTTAGAGGCGACATCAGAGTCTGAAACTTTCTGCACCAATTACGACCAAATAAAAGATCCTGCTGTTCGAGTACCACCAGGTCTGAAGTATGTGGAGTGAAGTATTATTTCTTCACCCAAAATGATTTTACTGACCATTTAAAGCTGCCATCTCTGATTAGACTGTACAACCTGTACTTGTGTTCTCACGTTTCACCACCAGGTGCTCTACGGTCACTGCACTCTGATGTGTTCAGCTTTATCTTGACAGAAGAAGAGCAGAGACCACAGGTGAGTCTGGACAAAGGACAGGTGAGGGGAGAAGAGAGCAGGGAATGTGTTTGAATGTGTGACATCAACTGGTGAAAAAAGCATCTGATGAAAGTTCTAGTATGTAACTTAAAATAAACCTAAATAACAGCAAGTTTTTCTTTTCATTTTGGATGTGTTTATGACACTGAAATTCACTTGATTGACCTAAAGGGCCTCCTGCTGCTTATTTTCATATATAAACTTCAACAGACATAAAACTAGACTATAATGGAAATAGTTTATCCACCAGCTGCCGTATTCCTAACTGGAAGTGAACATGGGCACGCTTCTGGCTCCATCAACTCCAATTGACTTTACATTGAAACATTTTCTCCCTTTTCTCTGTAACTGTTGCTGTGAGCCTTGTCATTTTAGTCTTAAATGTTCATATTAATTCGCTCTACGTGTATCAAATGTATTTATTTCGCTATTTGTCTGTTCATTTCCTATTTCTAAAATGGAAATTTGTCGATATAACTTCTAGCCTTGTTAGATTAATTTGACTGGAGATGAAACGCTGATACACCCTCAGTCCACTTTTTTTCACACAGTCTATGCAGAAAACTATCTGGAGAATTTATTATTTGTTTATTTATTTCATTCACAAAGTATAAAAAGACATTAACAGTGTCACAACATCAAACGTACAAGAAATGAAGGAAAAGGAGCAGAAAGAAGAGTCGTCTTATGTTCTCTGCTCCTTTTCCCTTTTCCAGACAAAACATCAACACTGATCTTTACTTTAAAACATTTCAGATCAGTACATTTCAGTTCAGACGACATGACAAAATTACTGTTATTAAACACTTTTAAATCTCAACTTTTTCTATTCCGACTCGACTTGGACTTGACGTCAAAGACTCGAGACTTACTTGAGACTTGCAAAACAACAACTTGGTCCCGCCTCCGTTACCAACCATCCCAAACCGATTATGTCCCAGTTTTTGATTTTGATAATCTGGTCACCCTGCGCATAAAACCCTCTATCTGGAGAATGTTCCGGAATGTGGCTCTTAACTTTCTATTTCTATTGAATCATGCAGAACGTCACACTGTCACTTTAATACAGAGGTAGGGAGACCAGACGTCCCTATTTACCCGGGACAGTCCCAGTTTTGAGTCCTGTGTCCCCTGTTCCAGCAGATTTGTACAAAACCAGTGATTTGTCCCAGTTTTATATAAGAAATGTCCCAGGTGTCCCTATTTTTGACCAATTTGATCCCTGCCAACAGTAAAGAGGGGATTGCCATTTGTTTAGGGAAAATACAGAAAATCTGAGCATGAAAATGACCATAAGGGGGGAAAAAATGTCAGAAATCCTTCAGATTACGACTATGACTCAGGAAGTAAATTAAGAATGGACAATGTTTAAGTCTAAGGACCAATTTGATACCTCCCAATAGTAAAAAGAGCCATAAATTTTTTTTTTTTTTAGGTAAAATACAGAAAAGCTGCTTAAAATTGACCAAAACACAGAGAAAATTTGACTATACTGACTCATATGTTCGTCATGAAGGGCCAACAGTGCAACGATTTTCCTTAATTACGCACTCGTTTCACAATTTTATTGTTACCAACCACGAAAAACCGTGGTGTCATAGTTTTTTATTTTGATAATCTGGTTACTATAGTCTAGTTTTTGCATAAAACCCATGTATGTATCTGGAGAATGTTCCGGACTGTGGTTTTAACTTTTTATTTCCGTTGAATCATGCAGGACGTCACGGTCACTTTAACACAGACACCACACTTAAATATTTTACACATGAGCAAATAAAAATGCCACGCTTCTGCTTATGAATCTGAACTAAACGAGACAAAGAACGAACAGGAAGTTTAACAATAATCAAACAATGATTCTCGCACTTAAACTCTCGCCTCCATCTCTTCGCCAACAAAAGCTGAGCCCATCATGACTCACTCCGCTCTTCCCGTAAACACAAACACGGAAGTGATGCAACAGCTTCAGCTTCGGCGCGGGGCCCTCGTTTCCCCTCGTTTCCCCCGGTCCCTGATGCTCTGTGCGGGCGGAGGAGCTGGAGGATGGAGGATGCTGCGGAGGGTACCACTTTAACAACAGCCGGGGATGCGGACCACGCCCTTCCCCTCTTCGCCGACAGAGGGCGCAGCACCGTACCAAAACTGACCCCACCGACACACCGTCAGCATATCAGAACCTCCAGCATCCCCTGACCGTCCTTCAGCTGTGCCATCACCGCGTTACCTCCTCGGAAAACCGCTCCCGAACACCGAAACACGGACCTTTTACGCGCGCCCGGACGCCAAATTACGCACGCATCCAATCCACTATGTAGGTTTATCGCTTCGAAATTTGTGACATCGCTTTGAATTTCAGCAGCACGTCACTGCGACAACATCCAGCATCTGCGTATCAACGAGGATTCATCGCGTAAAGAAGTCAAATCGTGATTGCCAGCGCGCCCTCGTTTCGTTAACCGAGGGAAACCAAAGCGGATTTTCGTGCGCTTTTTTCCAGTCTTGCGTCTTTGCGTCTTCGGGCCTTTTCTTGCTCCGCATCCCATTCTCGTGTAGCAACAGCAGCATCCTGAACCTGCGCCATGGCCGACGTCGTATCGGAGTGCAACATTAAAGTGCTGTGTCGCTTTCGTCCGCTGAACCAGTCGGAGATCATACGAGGGGACCAGTTCATCGCCAAGTTCCAAGGAGACGACACTGTCATCATCGGGGTGAGTGCAAATCGGGGGCTAAATCGCGCGTAATTTCGTTGTTTTACGTGGGCCAAGGAGCAGCAGGCCGGCCCCAAGAGTCCTCATCAATAAATCAGCAGACGCCGGACCCATTTGTTGTGTGCACTGGGAGGATGGGTGTGGGAATATAAAGATAACGATTTAAAAACTGCAATCTGAACAATCCTGATCACGTATTTTGAAGTACAAATATACTACAGCTACTTTTATTGACACACGAGCTACGGAGCAGGATAATCCCACCAAAAAAACTCCAAATGTACGCCGATAACAGTGTAATGAAATCCAAAAATCCAAAAATACCTGAATGAAACCCTAATATTTATAAATTAAAGAAATTATCCAATTTATTTGACCTTCTACAGCTAAAATTTAAACTAAAATACAACATAAATAGACCACATTGAGCCACAAAATACAGTATATATAGATCCAGCGTACATATTTTGAATTATAAATTGATATAGATCGAGAATTTGACTGATTTTAAGGTGTTTTTTAAGGCAAATATACCAACTCTGGAGCAGGATAAACTCAGTAAAGAGATTTAAATGTAAAAAGGTACAAGGAAATCAGCTGTTTTGATGTGTTTTTTAAGACAAATATGTTTTAGTTGCTTCTTGGGAATCATATGGATGTCTGTTTTTTCCAGATATGTTGACAAAAAGGTCAGATTTGGAGGAGTTTTTAGGTCTATATTCTTGTTTTGGGTTGGATTGGAAATTAATTATAAAATAGTGTAATATATAGATGTGGTTTATTTAGTTTAGTTGTTGTTTGACCTTGATGTGGTCATCCTGAAATCTGATTTGGTCTGGGTGCTAAACTAGGAGGGTTTAGAGCCAATGCAGGTCTCAGTCCAGTCTGGTCTTGTCCCAGTTGAGACCTGGTTTAGTTCTGGTTCAGATCTGGTTCAGACCTGGTTTAGACCTGGTTTAGTTCTGGTTCAGTCCTGCTTCAGACCTGGTTCAGACCTGGTTCAGACCTGGTTCAGACCTGGTTCAGACCTGGTTTAGACCTGGTTTAGTTCTGGTTCAGTCCTGGTTCAGACCTGGTTCAGTCCTGGTTTAGTCCTGCTTCAGTCCTGGTTTAGTCCTGCTTCAGACCTGGTTTAGACCTGGTTTAGTCTTTGTTCAGACCTGGTTTAGACCTGGATCATACCTGGTTTAGTCCTGGTTTAGACCTGGTTTAGACCTGGTTCAGGCCTGGTTTAAACCTGGATCATACCTGGTTTAGACCTGGTTTAGACCTGGTTTAGTCCTTGTTCAGACCAGGTTTAGACCTGGCTCATACCTGGTTTAATCCTGGTTTATTTCTGGTTTAGTCCTGCTTCAGACCTGGTTTAGTCCTGGTTCACACCTAGTTCTGACCTAGTTTAGCTCTGCTTCAGACCTGCTTTAGTCTTGGTTCAGTCTTGAATTAGTCCTGGTTCTGACCTAGCGAGGACCTGGTTTAGTTCTGGTTTAGACTTGGACTACAAAAGAGTGTGGTTCTAGTCTCCCCATTTCTCCAAAACCATTTCCATAAAACAAAATCTCCACATGGACCTGAAAACCCCTCACACTCTGTACTAGTTATGGTTTTAGTTAAATAGTTAAATATTTCTGTTAGTGTTCACAGTGACGTGGCGTAGTTTCTGTTAAACTCAAAGGAGGAATAAGCGTTTTTTTCTGTACAAAATGGTCTCTGTGCTGAGCCTGTCCACACTGAAACTCTATCTTGCTGTTTCAGAAATGCAGACTCACTCAATCTGGCAACAAGAGACGCTTTTCTCATCTGCAGGTTTAAGTGCACAATCATCCCAGAGATTTGGGAACTTCCACTTAAAACCTTTTATTTTATTTTGGAGCTTTTATTGGGAAAATGTTGTTTCTTTGTCAATAAACTCCTCACGTTTTGGAATAAAGACGACAGAAAAGTGGAACGTAATGAGTTTAGAGACAGACTTCCTCATTTCTTTATTAGGAAGTCGGGAAATTCAAAGGATAAATTGGATTAGTTTTTTATAACATGTGTAATTTTTGTTAAAGTTCCGGTGTGAAACTTTATAATCAAAACATAGATTCAAATAAAAGCTCATTTTGGAGGTTCTGTTTATTGCACTTTAACTTTTTGTGGAAGTCCTGGTTCAGACCTGGTTTAGTCCTGGTTTAGACCAGGTCCAGACCTGGTATAGACCTAGTTTAGTCCTGGTTTAGTCCTGGCTGAGACCTGGTTGAGACCTGGTTCAGACCTGGTTTAGACCTGGTTTAGGCCTGGTTCAGACCTGGTTTAGACCTGGTTTAGACCTGGTTCAGACCTGGTTCAGACCTGGTTTAGACCTGGTTTAGTCCTGGTTCAGGACCTGGTTTAGACCTGGTTTAGTCCTGGTTTAGGCCTTGTTCAGACCTGGTTTAGTCCTGGTTTAGACCAGGTCCATACCTGGTATAGACCTAGTTTAGTCCTGGTTTAGTCCTGGCTGAGACCTGGTTGAGACATGGTTTAGTCCTGGTCCAGACCTGGTATAGACCTAGTTTAGTCCTGGTTCAGACCTGGTTCAGACCTGGTTTAGACCTGGTTTAGTCCTGGTTTAGACCTGGTTTAGACCTGGTTTAGTCCTGGTTTAGACCTGGTTTAGACCTGCTTTAGTCCTGCTTTAGTCCTGGTTTAGACCTGGTTTAGACCTGCTTTAGTCCTGGTTTAGACCTGGTTCAGTCCTGGTTTAGACCTGGTTTAGTCCTGGTTCAGACCTGGTTTAGTCCTGGTTCAGACCTGGTTCAGACCTGGTTTAGTCCTGGTTCAGACCTGGTTCAGACCTGGTTTATTCCTGGTTCAGACTTGGTTTAGACCTGGACTAGTTCTGTTTAGACCTGGTTTAGACCTGGTTCAGTCTTGGTTTAGACCTGGTTTAGTCCTGGTTTAGTCCTGGTTCAGACCTGGTTCAGACCTGGTTTAGTCCTGGTTTAGTCCTGGTTTAGACCTGGTTTAGTCCTGGTTCAGACCTGGTTCAGACCTGGTTTAGTCCTGGTTTAGTCCTAGTTCAGACCTGGTTTAGTCCTGGTTCAGACCTGGTTCAGACCTGGTTTAGTCCTGGTTTAGACCTGGTTTAGTCCTGGTTTAGACCTGGTTTAGTCCTGGTTCAGTCCTGGTTTAGACCTGGTTTAGTCCTGGTTTAGTCCTGGTTCAGACCTGGTTCAGACCTGGTTCAGACCTGGTTTAGTCCTGGTTTAGACCTGGTTCAGACCTGGTTTATTCCTGGTTCAGACATGGTTTAGACCTGGACTAGTTCTGTTTAGACCTGGTTTAGACCTGATCAAACCTGCCCCAGACTCAACTTCAGCATTTAGTCGTTGTTTTTATCACCTGCAGATGGAGGAATTTTCCATTTACTGGAGGGAGTTGTAACTTGTTTTATGTAAACAGCCTTTACATTATTCAAACTATTATTCAGGCCCATGTTAAACCATTTTCTGATCTGTTATAATGTAGTTTCCTCGTCACAAACAGACCTGGAGTTGTGTTTTGTTTCATTCACACATTTAACACACAAACCCTGCACATTTAGACTGAAAACACTGTTCCACACACCTTCACTACAATCATGTGGATAATTTCAGCCCTGGAATTGCACATTTCTACTGAACAAAAGGTAAAAAAGTAGCTTGAAAACTACCACTTCATGACATCACAAGGTGGAACAGAGCATTTAAGCTTTGTAGATGTAGAAAGACTAATAATAAAAAGTTACTCAGACATGTGTGAATGAAATAAAAGTTACAAAACACAGCTCCAGGTCTGTTTTTGAGGAGTTAACAGTATTATAACACTGTTTAAAGCTCACAGGAGTCAGTTTTGTGTAATTTAGGACTTTTAACTTATAAATTTAAATCAGATGTTACGTCCAGACAGTTTGAGAAAACTACTACTTTAGTTAAGAGTCTCTAAGACTTTTTTCTCTTATTCGTTTGTTGGACCACTGCTTTGTACTACTACTACACAGCAAAAACTGGAGGGTTAACATTTCAGTGTAAAATATTTCAGAGTAGTTTTTAACACAAAAAGTGTTATTTTAACTATTTGAAAGTTAAGTGTGGTTTTAGTTGGGTTATTTGGATTTTTGAGTTGAAATGGCTGAAGTTAATTCAACTTCTCTTAGTGTTAATTAAAATTTCTTAGTGTTAATTCAACTTCCTCTAGTATTAATTTAACTTCTCTTAGTGTTAATTTGTCTGTTCTCACCCACCACTTCAAACTCCTGCGAGAGTAGACCAGTTTGAACTAGTTTTGTTCATAATTTCATCTTAAATTAACTAAAATAAAGTGTAAAAATAAAACACCTCTGTGTGTTGTTTAGCTGAATCAGGAAAACCCTTCAAAGTGTTGTCTGTTTACTCTATAAACATTAATTTAACTCTTGATTTTGGGGTCAAACAGGAACTATGGTCCAGTGATGCTTAATTAACATTTCCAAAAATGTTGAACATGTTAATGTTAATGTTTAACAGACTGGACTCATATAAACCCTGAGAAAATGTTAAAATTGATTCTGTGAGAGTCAATTTTAACACTCCACTTTTACTCTTACTCTCTGTAAGTAGGAGATGAAGCCAGTATAGAAAATAAATGACGTGTGTTTATGAAATCATCAGATCCATACATTTTTCCTGCTCTTGTTGTGGTGACGTCATTCGAGCGTCAGCACTGGGATCTGTCGAGCTCTTTAGTGGAGCTGTATAGATTTACACGGTGACGGTGGGTGGTCGCGGATGGCATTGAGAGGCAGTGGGTGATGGTGGGTGACGTTTTCATATTTTGGACTAAATCAGGACTATACCAGGACTAAACCAGGACTGAAATAGGACTAAAACCAGGAGTAAAACCAGGACTAAACCAGGACTAAACCCATGACTAAACCAGGACTAAACCAGGTCTAAACTAGGACTAAACCAGGACTAAACCAGGACTAAAACCAGGACCTAAACCAGGACTAAAACCAGGAC